TACATCATAATTACAAAAAAAAGAAGACAGAAATGATTGCATGTCTACGAGTAACGGGGGCGGATCCAGGATTTTGGAGAAGGGGGAGTGCACATAACTCGTGAAGTCCAAAGGTTCGGGGAAAATGTTCCTCAGGGGGGAAAACTTGGGGGAGAAGGGAGTGAGGGTTCGCACGCACACCCGCCATCTGGATCCGTCCCTGAGTAAATAAACTTTTGAAGTTAACTTTTGCCCATATATTTATGTCCTATGTGTTCTATAATCCTGTCTCTATATTCCCATTGCCTATTACAACTGATTTTGTACACAAAATATCAATAGTAAATGGCAGGTTATTTTAAGCTTACAAGACATACAAGGGAATAGATCTGTCAACATTCCAGTATTATGGATTGTATTTCTTCCCTTGGTCCTGCTGCAAAAAGCAATCCTGGCTCTGACAATCGTAAGTCCATGATAAACTATGGACGTCACTTCAAGGCTACTGGTCCACACTGCTGCCATATAGCTGCAGTATTGCTGAGTTCAGCATCAAACAACAAACAAAAACTATAACGCCAAGGATTGCTTTGTGCAGGTGGGGCCCAGTAGTTTCAGACAAAAGCAGATTCAGATATGTTTGTATTAATATAATTTCACTGGCAGTTCTGCATAATATTGATCCTATCATACATGTAAACTGATGCCTCAACAAGACTAGTTTCTTCTTTGAGGATGTTACACTGTCCTAAGCTGTATGCTTTCTACCAGCTGCGTTGTAGTTGTAGCAGAGTATTTCTTATACTGGCATCCCAGTGTGTAAAATATAGCCTGTCCTACTGTCCTTTACAGTCTTATATTTTTGAAGGACGGTCTGTTAAATAAGTAAGGTCGTCCTTTGGTCGGGAAATATTTGAAAAAAATAACTTTACTTGGTTTGAATGAAGAGTTTTTAGATGTAGCAGAGTATTTCTTATACTGGCATCCCAGTGTGTAAAATATAGCCTGTCCTACCGTCCTTTACAGTCTTATATTTCTGAAGGATGGTCTGTTAAATAAGTAAGGTCGTCCTTTGGTTAGGGGAATATTTGAACAAATTAACTTTACTTGGTTTGAATGAAGAGTTTTTGTTTTGGGGACTGGCTGTATTTGTTAAGGACTGGTCTGGTCACTGTTTTGGACAGGCTACATTTCAAAACTATTTTATACACTGGACATCCACTGGTCACCAATGTACAGCTAAACACCTCCATAATACATTGCACTGCCTTCTCAAGCTTGTGGAGTACAAATTACAAAATGTCATGGAAACTTTAATGCTTAGTGTTCTCGAAACAATGGCTGTGGGGTAGCCTCATGGTTAAAGTATGTACTCTTCATGCTCTAGATCCACGTTTTGATTCTCCACTTGGGTACAATGTGTGAAGCTCATTTTCTTGTTCATATTGCTGAAATATTGCTAGAAGTGGCGTAAACTCACTCACTCATACATGCAGTGTACACGTACAGCCCCTTAATGAGGGGCTGCTTCTAACCGACAATTATTTCTAAAGATATGGTTTTGTGATCATTTAGAGTTTCTGCATTAGGATGCAACTGTATCAAGACGCATTTTACAAAATGCCATAAAATATAGTTATGTAGGGAAACATCCTTGCAACTCTCCATTTATTAAACATAATGGGTCTTGACTCCATTGTTTCCAAGGAATGCAGAGTTACTCAGACATTCCCTCATATGTAACGTACATTCTGATTGAAGTTGGTACAAAGTCATTATCATACTCCTCTAAGAATGTTGTGAAAGCATGTGTATCGTGGCTATGTATTGGCGACCAGTAGGTATCAGATGTTAAATGCAGCTAAAAGGCACGGCTTTGCAGCTTGTGTACAGCATGCTGCCCTTGATCCTCTAAAAGTGGACAGCCCAATGGTCCACTCCATTCATTGTTGTTTGTTGTTGAACCTGTGATGTGCAGTATGTGTAATAAACATTTGCTTTATTCTTCTTGTTTGTTGTTTCCATCATGGCCGAGACTGGTTCCTGGCAGTACATGCACTGCATCACCTTTAAGACTTGATCAGTACTGATGATTTCAGTAAACAGACATGAAGGGATTTTCTTTATTCTGCAGTCAATATGTTTACACAAACATGATACATTAATTGTCCTGGATAATTAAACACATCCATAAACCTGTTAAAACACAAGTATCTTTCTATCATTATATATACAGCTGGGAAAAAAAATTACAGATTATATATTTCCTCATTAAAATAATAATTGGAAATTGTGTGCTTGTTTAATTTTATGACGAAAACAGTTTTGTCTACAATGTAATGCACCTCTTTTGACTGTATACAGACACCAGGGCTTAGATTTTCGAAGCTCTCTTAGCTCTAAGATAGTAATAAGTCCCATACATTAACATTAACTTACGACAATCTTAGTGCTAAGAGAGCTTTAAAAATCTAGACCCAGACTATTATCAGAGGACATGACATGCATGCAAAACAGTTCCCTCACCGCGTGTGTTAGTGACTGTCTAGGAGGATCTCTTATTGTCTGCCTGGACAAGGTATTGGTGAATACAGTGAGTGAGTTGAGTTTTCTGCCGCACTCCAGCTATATGGCAGCGGTCTGTAAATAATTGAGTCTGGACCAGACAATCCAGTGATCAACAACATGAGCATGGATCTACCCAATTGGGATACGATGACGTGTCAACCAAGTCAGCGAGCCTGACCACCTGATACCATTAGTCGCCTCTTACAACAAGCATGGGTTACTGAAGATCACTTCTAACCCAGATCTTTAAAGATGATTTGTGAATACAAGTGTTACATGTAACATGTAATATTTCGGTTTACACTTGGGTAAAGCGCAGATTCCAGTCACTGCCATATGTCTGAAATGCTGAGTGTTGCGTTTAAGAACAAACATATAAACATTCTCGACCGAGTGAGTGACAGTAATTTGGTTTTATGCCTCTTTAAGCAATATTCCAGCATTATCAACACGCACCAGAAATGGAGCTTCACACATTGTACCTAAGCGGGGAATAGAACATGGGTCTTTGGCATGACAAGCGAATGCTTTAGCCACCAGGCTACCCCCATCACCGCCTGGGATTTGAACCCACAGTTTTAGAGTCAGGCACCAAATCACCAGCACGCTAAGTCAGCAGTCTAACCCACATAGCTCTGGAAGCTGGCAATTTGGTGCCTGACTCAGAGTGGAGGTCCGAATCCCAAATGGGACTCAACCCAAAAAGTACTAGAATCTGTACTTTACTGAGAAAGTGTAATCCCAAATATAACATGTTACTTTTGGCCACTTTCCAAATGCACTGTGTATTCACAGTAGTGGATCTAGAGGGGTGGATCTTGGGTGCATAGCACTGCATACACACACCCTCCCCCAAAACATTTTCCCCCTAACCTTCATGATTTATGTGCACCCTCCACTCCCCCAAAATCGTGGATCCGCCCCTGATTTATAATACAAGTGTTATTTATTAAAATTAAGTACAGTTACTGATAGTTACAGAAATAAAAGAATAAAACAAATGGAAATATAAAAGAAAAACTTAAACGGTCAAATCTGAAGAGAAGAAACGTTGGAAAATTGAGCAAAATTAGCTGGTTTTGACAATAAATTTGCTCACTGTCTGATGACAGGATTTGAAACTGTTTCATGGCTTTAAAATTCCTTGTCTAGTTCTTTGTCTGTCTCACAGTCGCCGAGTTCAATTATTTTCACTTGTGCCCAGCACAAACTGTGACGCTATAGTCCTAAATGAAACAAGTGAAACCAGGTATGTTTTGTAGGTTCTGAAACTCAAATAACAATCACAATATATGACACAGGTGTGCTCAGAATTTGCCCAGGTGTATATCAAGATACTGAATATCAGATGACAAATGTATTTCTTAATCACTTCTCACAAATCATAAAATCAAGGAATAAAAGTGACGAGATACTTTCCTCACATCTACAATCTTGGAACAATTGTTGTTTAATACAGAACTCCGCAATACTTCAGTCTGGACTGATTTAAATTTTGTAATGTGACCACGGTCATGTGCAGTTGTGGATTATTTACTTTGGTCATTCAAGGTATCATAATGAAGCAGTTCTGTTCATGATAAAAAATAAATCTTAAGTTTTGAGACATAACCTCCACCACCTAAAACTATATTTTGAAATTGTTTACATTTTCCTGCCTCTGAAAACCTTTTGAGAACAACAGATGTATTTTATATGACTCCAAACATCATCCTGAAGTGAGTCCTACTTCACAGATATTTATATAGCTGGTGGTGTGGCTGAGTTCTGCAGGATGTCAAGTTGACAGCTTCTCTGCTGCTTTTGTTTTTTACAAATATTCATGATGGAAACAAAAGCTCACTTTTCAGAGTACTGATGATGATGATGATGATGATGATGATGCGAGCTGCTACTGACAGACATGAATTGCATAATTTACACGAAAACCTGATCCTCAAAAACATGAAAACAGAACTGCTCCCTGTACCAGGTACCGTAAACTGCTAACCCCTGACCTTTGATCATTTCAGATCAAGTATTCCAACACAATGCCTGTCTGTAGACACCTTCGTAGGAGGCCACGACAAAAGATCTAAATTAAGGACACATAGGTTTTTCAGCTAATCAGATATCCATATCCATATATGATGTGGCCATACTCAACTTGGAACTTGCCATCCAAGTTCATATTTGAGAAACAGACATCAGATATGTCCTGAGAATTCTTCACTTACTTATTCTGAAAATTCAGAAGCCCTGATGCTTGTTGGCTGTTTAGAAAGTTCACCAGACGCGACCTCTCAGGGAGGTCCTCAGTTCTGCAGAAACAGATGTATTGTATCGGAGTACAAGATCTGAATTTAATAACCTTTTAACAATGTTTCAACATGTCAGTGTCTATCTCTGCTTCTCTTTCTGTCCCTCCCTTCATATCTCTCCTCTCTCCTGTCATCTCTCTCATATCTTCTCTCTTTCCTTGACTGATCTCTGTCATACCGATCTTCATCCACATCACGTCTCAGTTTTCCTGACTCTCTGTCTCTGTACCGGTTGCCATCAACATCTTTTCTTTTCGAACCCTGACTCTCATCCTCAGAATCGGATGAGCTTGATTGCTGTCGTAAATCTTTACGACTAGAGTTACCACTTCTTGATGAATATTTCTCACTTTCAGAATCGGAATTCAATCGCTGTTTGTATTCACGTGACTTTTTTTTCCTCCTCTCATGAGATTCGTCATCTTCGAATCAGAGTTTGAGGGCTGATGTCTCCGATGTCTATTGTCCTTTGACTTTCTACCCTTTCTCTGATGATCATATGGATCAGACTTATGTTTTTGTTGTCTGAACCGGTGATCCTGTTTATGATCCTCCTCTGAGGATGAGTCTTTTCGTGACCTTGTCTGTTCAGATCTACGCTGAAAGGCCTCGCGGTCATGAGGCCTATGTAGAGGGCTCCGACTGCGGTCACCAAGAGAGTATCCTCGCTTGCTGGGTCGTGTTTCTTTTGGTCTAACGTCTCTACTGCTAACAGAGTAAGCTCCCCTTGGATCTGAAATATAACAAAATGCTAAGTTTCTCAAAGCACTTTGAAAACTTTGCAAAAACACTACATTGCCTTTAAGGCCTCAAAAAACCATATTTAATTTGTGCCAAAGTCAACAGGAAGTTCATGGCTGATCTACTGATATTCTGGTGTGACCTGTTCCCCAAACTGCATGAAAATATGTTTGTCCTCCATTTGACCAAATAAATAAGCTATCCACTGGAGAAGCTGGGTGTTTTCCCAAAACATTGTGTTACTCCCCTCTCACTGTGTTCAAACAGACAATCTTCAAGTATGGACTGAAAAACTAAGTCTCGAGCAAAAAGTCAGGCCCCCAAGAAATTATCTGACCAAACTCTGTATGAAACATAGATACTGTAGTGAGTGTGTGAGTGGTGAGTGAGTGAGTGAGTGAGTGAAGTTTTACACCGCATTCAGCAATATTTCAGCTATATGGCTGGGTGTCTGTAAATAATTGAGTCTGGACCAGACAATCCAGTGATCAACAGCATGAATATCAATTCTAATCATCTTCATTGGGATACTGATGACAATGTGTCAACCAAGATGTTAGCAAGCCTGACCACCACATCCCATTAGTCACCTCTTACTTGATAAACATGGGTTACTGAAAATCAATTCTAATCCGGATCTTCACGGGTAGAAACTGAAGTAGCTGTGCCAATTATTTGTATTTGCTGATTGTAAAATTAAAGATGTGAGACATCACTATTATCCTAAACATTCGGTGCACACAAATCAGACCTGTGGGACCTCTATGTCTCTGATGTCTTGGAAGTCAGTTTTTGAATAATTACAAACTTGATGACTCATGTGTTATCCTTGGTCAAAACTCACCATCACTGTCATAGCTGCTACTGCTCTCGGAATCTGAATCTTCGTTTTTTCTTTTAGTGGTCTTCTGCTTCCTCTTTCTTCCTCTCTTTTCAGAATCTACAGAAACATAATGATGGATGTGATATTAGTTGGTTGTTGTTTTACAGTTAAATTCTAAAATTGAAGTATGCCACTATACAATGGAGGTCTTTAAACAACTCAGTCTGGACCAGACAATCTGATGATTGATATCATGAGCACCAATACATATTGTCTGGGTTGGACGACTCACCAAACAACTCACCAAGATCTATGCTTAATCTAACCAAGCATCCCCACAGATAAAGCAAAAAATAATGGGACTTGTAAAATACATAACCGTGCAATCTCAAACATTTAATGGAAAAGGGAAATAACTTCTTTATTGCAATGAGAGCACTCATTGCAATATTTTAAAGAAGTTGACTATCCATAGAACTTGGTTTTCCTTCAGCTATACAACTTCTAAAAGGCCTCTCAAAGAATTTAATGGAATAGCATAGCACTAAATAGATTTGTTTAAATGAAATGTTTACCTTTACAAAGGAAAACTATTTTAAAATAATTTATACTGAGAAGTTATTAGCTGAGTTTTTTCCTGTCATAAATATTTTATACCAGAAAAATAAATTGTGTTTATTTGGCAAGCATAATACATGTTCTTCTGTCACTATACATTTCATACCCCAATGCTACCGTGACCGTATATATGTATATAAGCCCAGTGGTTGATATGGCAGGTGAGGTGAGGTGAAATTCGGTTAAACGTCGTGCTTGAGAATATTTCGCTCATATGGCGATGTGCATGTGTGTGTATGTGTAGGTGTGGCTGCTTGTACTAGCCCAGACTGAAGCTGGTTTTATAGTGCTAGCGCACTGAGATACTGATATGGCACGAGGAGTAGGGTACAATATGAACATATGTTAAAGTGTATATTCTATACCATAACATGAAACTATCCATGTATTGTATTTGTAAGTGATGTCAGTACATATGACAAGAGACCCGTGAAGATCAGGGTTAAAACTGATCTTCAGTAACCCATACTTGTCATTAGAGGCAACTAACAGGATCTGTGGTGGTCAGGCTCGCTGACTTGGCTGACACACGTCATTGTATCCCAATTGCGTAGATAGATGCTCATGTTATTGATCACTGGACTATCTGGTCCAGACTCGATTATTTACAGACCGCCGCCATAGAGTGTGGGGTTAAACCAACCAACCAACCAACATATAACAAGCAGACAACACTAAGGGAGGTAACTCTGATTCCTTACCACCCAGACTGATCATCCGTTAAATATGCAATGACAAGCTATATCCACCCAGTATGCACTTAATCTGGTTATTACAGCTGTGTATTACGACTGTCTCCAAGTTGCTACATCAGACATGCAAATTGCCCCACATCATGGAAAGGTATAAGATAAATATTTTTTTATTACTGTCATAAGTTTATTATACATAAATGCAACAGTGTGACAATGTATTTTCTCCCTGTAATATATTTCTCAAAATAACGGACACCTTAATATGTAATGTCAGTAACTATAGAAACCGGACTGCAGATTAATATGTTTGAATGAATCGCCCCATTGATCACAGCGTGTGTACAATTTGTTGCCATGCTTGTCAACAGAATCACCATTACATGAGTAACCCCCTGTGCAGACTTACTGGGAGTGTTATTCAATAGTTTATTGAGCACGCAGACATTCTCTCTCTGCATAAATCTAAAAAGTAGTTCATGCTTGGGTTATCTTTACAGATATCATTGCATAGATTGTGACACCATGTTTATCGGCCTGGCCCGCATAATACAATTTTTATGCCTAACATATGATAACGATACAGAAACAAAAGAAGTTTATAATGTCATTCTTAAAATTACTCTAAAACAAGAAGCAAATCGTACGTGAATTTACATGAAGAGAATCAAGCATTTACGTAAGAATACTTAGCGATACACCAAGGTGAAGGTCGTTCATGACAGCAGCATATGGTTGTGACTAGTCGCTAATACAGTCCAAACATAACTCATGCTTAAAATAACATCTTTCTGTCTGAAAAGAACAGCAAAATCAGGCAGGATTTTCTTGGCAGTGTTTCTGTTTTCATTGCGGGTAATCATCTCATCAACATCAGTTTCTGATACCTGATGGAATCGATTAGTAGTCTGTATTGTGATCGATAGATCGAAATCCTTGGTAGGTACCTTTCTTAGACGATTGCCTTTCACTCTTGCCTCATAATCTGTACCTTCAATTTGAACGAAGTACTTTTCTTTTCCAAAGTCAATTACTGCAGAACCTCTGTCATCGATTCTTACAGAATCACCAATTTCGAGAACGGGGGCAGCCACGCAATGTAAACTCGCGACGTCATCAGTTAAATGTTAATGTTTTAGCATTCGCATGCCGTGTATGGAGTTTTGTGAAAGTTGTTCGTGGATTGCGTTCACTGGCAAAGACTTCACTTAAACACGCTTAAGGTTGAATTTCGATCCATGGGAAGGAGCATTGTCAATAAGCAATAATATCTTTTACTTGCTCCAGCCAATCCATGAATACGGATGTTTTCATCCAAGCCTTCTGATTGGCTGTCCATGTCACCAGGAGGGACCACTGAGAACAGGAGTAATGGAGATGTTTATTCAACGGACTGTTACCAAGTCAGTTAATACAAGTCTGCTTTACAAAGCATTGTTCTCATAGCAAGTTGATTGTCGGGGACTGTTATTTCAGTCCGTAATCCATAATTGAGAAGTTCGGATTATAAAGCAAGCGTTAAGGTTCCAGTACACTAAGTCAGAATCACATGCTCCCTGAGCGAGTAGCGTATGTAAACAACTGAAGAGATAGAGACTTGTGACAGCTGTGATTGGATGAAATAGTGGAAGATTTTTATGTTTTTTTAAAAGCACATCCATCCAGTAATTAAAACTGACCAAAATGTTAAGTATTTAGTGCTGACATTTTCATCACCATGACTTATGCTTAATGTGTGTACAGATATTTCCAGTAGGTGACCCTTGGTGCGGAACTGGGGTTGATGTGTTCAGCTTCCTGTGCTCGGAAATGTGGCAGGCTAGTTAGCTGCAATTTGTGTTTATATTGTAGTTTAAAGGCTACACTGTACCAATGTGTACATGGAAAGGCTGTTGACATTCTGGATGATTTAAAGAAAAATAATCACAACACTATTTTCAGCTTGTACAATGCATGTTGGTGACTTCACACATACAGCAGGAACAGAAACCTTCACATCCAATGTGGCATTTCGACAAGACGGTCTGAAGTCTGATGTTGGCAGTGTGTAATCAAGCCCACTCCTTTTGCTTCGATATGCTTTAACGCCTAGTAGAAGTTGTGGTACTTGACATGTAGGTACATATTGTACATTTAAGTCCCCCAGTCCAGCTAACGCACCACTATGTCTCGCTTACAAATTCCGTCACTCGGTTTCCCTCAGCCATTAGAAATTCTGACATTGCCTCACTGTGCAGTTTTTCAGTTTGCCAGACATGAATGAAGGGCTGTACATCAACCAATGAAACTGATTAGATGTAAATAACAACAACTGACCCTCGTTAAATGTAACATTAAGGCTCTGAGTTCATATGTTAGTGACATGATAGTGTTTGATATCAATAAATTATCTCCCCTGTTTACCCATAAACACTGTGTTTCTGTCACCCAGTAATCCATAAATCATTGCAGAGAAACACTGTTTTTAGCTGATATGCCAAACACTGTTAATTGAGATTAAATATATTCAGTTTTGGGCAGGGTAACCCATAAATTTCCAAAGTTATGTGGATTATTTCACTTTGTTCCCTTTAAACTGGCTTATACAAGAAATTGGCAAGTCTAACAGCCTCAAAACAATACACAGTAAACAATTTTGATTTCCTGGAAGTATTTCAAACCTTAGCTTGATGAATCAATAGATTCAAGTGTAAGTTCCTATCATGCTGTGGTCTAAAAGTGATTTCATGTTTCAGGGGTCATTTGCCTTGATCGATGTTAACAGACGGCAGGGTACTCTGGTCAGTGTTTCAGACTGCAAATCAAAATTCAAACCCTCTATACTTTCTGGCAAATTCCATCATCCAGCCTTACATATGTCAGGATGTTAAAGCTGCTTAATGTGAAACCTTTCCAATTTCTGGCCTGAATTCCATGATTTTTGTCGTTCAAAACATATTTTGGGTTGATATGATCAAGGCATCTCCAGGGCCACTCATGCATGGAATTAACCAAGGGCCCCCTTCTTTTGTGAAATATGAGTAAACTCCCATGGTATCTGTATGATTATAAAATTTTCTCTATTAATGCTGACATACATTTTGCAAAGCATTGATGAAATAGACATGATATAACTCTCACAGCTCTCTCAACACATCTCTATATTATTGTGCCATATAGACATGTTGGACAGGAAAAAGTATTGAAGCTTCATCCAATTTTATTTTTTTGAGAAGTTACATGTAATTCAGTACATAAATCACAGACTTGCATAGGGCAGATGTTTCCAAATATTTCCTACAGGTTCCACTACACTAAATCAGAATCACATGCTCCCAGAGTGATTACAAAGCACTGTTCTCATAGCAAGTTGATTGAACATCTGAAGAGATAGAGACGTGGCAGCTGTGATTGGATGAAATAGTGTAAGATTTCTATGTTTATTAAAAGCACATCCATCCAGTAATTAAAACTGACCATAATTTCAAGTAATTAGTGCTGTAATTTTTATAACCATGACTATTGCTTAATATGTGTACAGATATTTTCCAGTAGGTGACATTTGGTGCGGAACTGGGGTTGATGCTTTCAGTTTCCTGTGCTTGGAAAATTGGCAGGCTAAGTTAGCCAGAGTCCAAAACGTTTCCATGGGAACCAAGAAAAATAAAAATGACAAAAATCTGTATATAGCAAAAGGCACCACTTTAGTTTGATATATCTACCAATTTTGTTGAAAATATTGGATGTTTTTTTAGTTATGCTCTGGCAATAAAATGATTACGGCCGGATGGAAGGACAGGCGAGTCGTTGACTATATCCTCCCGTATTACATGCCGAGGGGATTAAAAAAATAACGTTACTATAGAAACCTATGGGAAAACATTTGGTGTTGTGTAACGTTAATGATAAATTAAGAATCGTTTTCCCGGGACTCAGAGAGTAGTCCAGATTATGGAGAAAACTGGTTTACAAAGAGTCCAGATTTGACAGATTCCACTGAGTCAATATATTGATGCTAGAATTTCAAGTCAATGACACTCAAACTGCATCCTCCATGGTGACGGTAGTCAAAGGGAGATAAAGCTCACCAGTCACCATGGAGGATGCTCTCTTACTTAGACAAGTGGGGGTGAGTGAGGGAATTTAGGTTTACGCTCCTTATAGCAATATTTGAGTAATATCACAGAGGGGTACACCAGTAATGGTGAAAGTAATGGTTTGGTTTACCATTTCATGTCATATTGATTGTGTAGCGCAGTTGAAACTAGTCACGGGCAGATAAGGCACAGGTGACTAGTCACATGTTTCTAAGAGAATTCAGTTTGTCTCGTGGCGACATGTTCATCAAGTTCGTCTGTTTTCGAGAGCGCATAAATACAGCAAGATAACACAGTAACATGACTTTGATATGTTTGCAATGATTTGGCAATTGTATAAATTATTGTAATTAAATAAATACAAAATATGCAGTCCGTAATATCTTGGTACGACTTTAAGTGATGCACTGTTTTAAACATACAACATAACTGATGTATGTGAAACTAACTTAGTTCCAATAATATTTATCATTGCCTGAAGATTCAGAGTCAGAATCTGCATGTTTTGATTTTTTCTTCTTTTTCTTTTCCTTCTTGCTCTTCTTGGACTTCATTGATGATCCCTTGCTCTGGAGCTTGTTCAGTTTTCTACAATAAAGAATGTTTAGAATTACACCACCCAGTACTAAAAGAGCCTCTCATCAAAGCATCATTTGATATAGGGAGATAAACCAACAGCTTTGTGTACCCCTCTGATAAGTGTTAATTGGCACGGCTCCCACGGCCGAAAGCTATGATTACACAATGCCTTTAGAAAGTGGTCAAATGAGTGGGTTAGACATCTGACTTTGTGTGCTGGCGATTGGGTGCCTGACTCTGAGGGTGTGAGTTCGAATCCCGGATGGGGCTCAACTCAAAAAGTACTAGAATTTGTACTTTACTAAGAAAGTGTAATCCCAAATCTAACACGTTACATTTCACCACTTTCTAAATGGCATTGTGTAATCATAGCTTTTACCATGTAGAGGGCTTGATACCTCGTAATGAAACTTCTGTCGCGATAGTAAATTGACAAAACAAACATGATCACCAAACTGCACAGGTATTGCTGGATGACCTATTATTACCACCAAACTGCACAGGTATTGCTGAATGACCTACATTACTACCACTGCACAGGTATTGCTGGATGACCTACTGCACAGGTATTGCTGGATGACCTACTATTACCACCAAACTGCACAGGTATTGCTGAATGACCTACTATTACCACCAAACTGCACAGGTATTGCTGAATGACCTACTATTACCACCACACTGCACAGGTATTGCTGGATGACCTACTATTACCACCACACTGCACAGGTATTGCTGGTATTATTACCACCACATGCACCTATTGCTGGATTACTATTACCACCACACTGCACAGGTATTGCTGGATTGAATTACCACCACACTGACCTACTATTACCACCAAACTGCACAGGTATTGCTGAATGACCTACTATTACCACCACACTGCACAGGTATTGCTGGATGACCTACTATTACCACCACACTGCACAGGTATTGCTGGATGACCTACTATTACTGCACCCTACTATTACCACCACACTGCACAGGTATTGCTGAATGACCTACTATTACCACCACTGCTGCACAGGTATTGCTGGGTATTGCTGAATGACCTACTATTACCACCAAACTGCACAGGTATTGCTGGATGACCTACTATTACCACCAAACTGCACAGGTATTGCTGAATGACCTACTATTACCACCAAACTGCACAGGTATTGCTGGATGACCTACTATTACCACCAAACTGCACAGGTATTGCTGAATGACCTACTATTACCACCAAACTGCACAGGTATTGCTGAATGACCTACTATTGCTGGACCACCACCACTGCACAGGTATTGCTGGATGACCTACTATTACCACCAAACTGCACAGGTATTGCTGGATGACCTACTATTACCACCAAACTGCACAGGTATTGCTGAATGACCTACTATTACCACCACACTGCACAGGTATTGCTGGATGACCTACTATTACCACCAAACTGCACAGGTATTGCTGGATGACCTACTATTACCACCACACTGCACTGCATTACCACCACACTGCACAGGTATTGCTGGATGACCTACTATTACCACCACACTGACCTATTGCTGGATGACCTACCAAACTGCACAGGTATTGCTGAATGACCTACTATTGCCACCAAACTGCACAGGTATTGCTGAATGACCTATCATTACCACCAAACTGCACAGGTATTGCTGAATGCCTACTATTACCAATGACCTGTCATTGCTGAATGACCTATCCACCAAACTGCACAGGTATTGCTGACCTATGACCACCACTGCACAGGTATTGCTGAATGACCTATCATTACCACCACACTGCACAAGGTATTGCTGAATGACCTACTATTACCACCAAACTGCACAGGTATTGCTGAATGACCTATCATTACCACCAAACTGCACAGGTGAATGACCTATCATTACTACCACACTGCACAGGTATTGCTGAATGACCTATCATTACCACCAAACTGCACAGGTATTGCTGAATTACCTACTATTACTACCAAACTGCACAGGTATTGCTGAATGACCTATTACCTACCATTACCATTGCTGGATGACCAAACTGCACTGCAGGTATTGCTGAATGACCTACTATTACCACCAAACTGCACAGGTATTGCTGAATGACCTACTATTACCACCAAACTGCACAGGTATTGCTGAATGACCTACTATTACCACCACACTGCACAGGTATTGCTGAATGACCTATCATTACCACCAAACTGCACAGGTATTGCTGAATGACCTACCATTACTACCACACTGCACAGGTATTGCTGAGTGACCTATCATTACCACCAAACTGCACCGGGATTGCTGAATGACCTATCATTACCACCAAACTGCACAGGTATTGCTGAATGACTGTTGATCTTTCATAAAAGGTTTACCTTGAGGACAGAAATTACAAAAGCAATGTTCAAAAGCATAAAGTACTTACTTCAAGAGTTTTTTCTTCTGTTTGGGTGTGAGAGACTTTAGAAACAGTACCTCAGGGTCATCTTCATCATCTGTGTCAACGACCTACAACAAACAGGTAAAACATGGGTAAGGACTATTCACTAATGATTGGTTTAGTTTGGTTTGGTTTGGTTTGGTTGTTGTTTAATGTAGCACTCAGCAGTTTTCCAGCTATATGGTGACAGTCTGTAAACAATCGAGTCTGGACCAGACAATCCAGTGATCAACAGCATGAGCATTGATCTACGCAATTGGGATACGATGACATATGTCAACCAAGTCAGCGAGTCTGACCACCCGATCCTGTTAGTTGCCTCTTACGACAAGCATGTGTTACTGCAGATTCTAACCAGGATCTTCACGGGTTTCACTAATGACAATTAGTGATGAACACTACATATATTTTAGTCATTACCACAAAGGTGACAGAAAGCAGTGTCACAGTGTTCTCAGAAATTGTGATAAAATGCCTCAGTATCTATCAATATGTGAAGAAAATGACACACAATTAGATACTATATTTTCCTATTCATTTATATAAGGCCAGGCCAATTTTATTTCTTGTTTTAACGTTTATTTGTACTCAGACAACCTAAAGGCAGGAGGGAAAAAAAATAATAATGAATAAATCACCAGTCAAAGTAACGTTCCTTTTAAATACTAAAAGTATTTTACTTTTGGCAATTTCTGAAGTGTATATGAAGCAATAAAAAAAATCTAAAAAGAACCCAATATTTTTTTGCAAATTTACTTTTTGGGCCAATAAAAACCCATTAGGATTCTTTTGTTTTGTTCTTATTCTTGAAAAAAAATACGACCGGCAGATATGTAGAAAAAGAAATTAAATTGGTCTGGCCTAAAGTGAATTATTCACAAATGCCTTTCTAGAAAGTGTGATTTTGGAGCAACAAATTAACAAGTTCTCCTGCCATAACAAAATACATGCAGATCTCCTACTTGTTGTCACTTGGAAAGTTAGATGAAATTGCAAAGATTTTGGAAATACCTACATGAGTATACGTGAAGCTTACTTCTAGTGTCCCCTCCCATAATATGGCTCAAATATTGCTAAAAGCATTTTATAACTAAACTCACTTACTCACTCAAACCAACCTACCTTCTTTTCATCCTCGCCTTCCATCAACCTTCCCATGATGCTCTTCTTCATCTGGAAGCCATCTTCCTTCAGGCTCTCCAGCAACGATGAAGTTGTGTTCTCAGCTATGGAAACATATAAAGTTGAATACAGATGATAAAGTTATTCCAGGCACACAAGATATACATACATGCACTGTTCGAAATTAGCTGCTTGCCAGTTGGCCAAGTGCAAGTGACTTATCCATTGGACAAGTAACATTTCTGTACAGCTGTCTCGACTGTCACTGTTGTTTACATTGAACAGATTATAGGAAACCCTGGCAAAATATTAAGCAGTTTTGTTGAACACTGATAGTTACTAACATACATGTTTGTTTGTCTGTTTGTGTGCACTCTCCAGCTACATTACATAGGCTGGTATGAAATCAAGTCCAGACAGGATAACAAAAGTACCATCCTTCACCATTTTTGGGTGTGAGCAGGGGTGGAAATAACTTTAAAATTGATAGTGTACTCCGGTACAGTGGCACATGTAAAGTCACTTGCCCTGATAATTTGTCCACTATACCAACCGTTTTCTTCTTATACACAACATAATTAACATTGGAAAGTCAACTGGACACCGGTACAGTGTGATATAAAAATTTGCTTGCCCGACAGAAAAAAACACTGGACTCGGACATCGGGCAATGGGTTATTTCCATCCCTGGTGAATGAGTACGGTTTTAGTACGACAATACTATCGCGACACCACGTCAGAAAAGAGCTTCACACATTGTACCCAGGAGGGGAATCAAACCAAGTCTTCAGTGTGAGGAGCAAATGCTTTACCCACTAGGCTATCCTTCCCTGTTGGTATGATGAGGATGGGGATCAAACCTCCATCCCTCTGCTCTCAGATGTGCTCTCAATACAGAAACTGACCAATCAGATGACTAGTGAGTGAGTATAGTTTTACGTCACTTTAAGCAATATTCCAGCAACATCACGCCAGGGGACACCAGAAATAGGCTTCACACATTGTACCTATGTGGGGAATTGAACCCAGGTCTTTGGCGTGACAAGTGAATGCTTTAAACACTAGGCTACCCCACCGCTCCACAGATGGCTAGACTCGGTAAGCAGAAATGACAAATAATCTTACGTTGAGGCGGCTCGGCAGTCAGGTTCCTTCCAAAGAGAGGACAAATCTTGTCAGTATTGACGTGACCCCACTGTCGACACTTGATACATCGGACATTGCGCACCTCAATACCAAATGGCTGATCTCGAATTGTTTCATCATTCTTGGCATATCTGTGAAGAGAAACTCACTGAATTCATCCTTACAGTCAAAGGTTAAAAAATAACTCAACATGTACCAGTGTATGAATTAATTTTGAAAAGTCACAGGCCAGGAGGGCTAGTTAAGTAGTAAACATGTTGCTAGCCCACATCATACTTCACTGGCCCTGCAAAATATCAATATCAAAATGCACATTTTGGTGTGATGTTTGGTAATTGAAGATGGTAAGTTATTGGGTGTCAGGCCAGGAAAGACATATTTCCAAAATGACTATTGCCGGGAAGGCCACATTTCAATTACATGGCTGTAGCCGGTAAAGCCACATTTCCAATAGATTAATTAATTAATGGATTACCGTAACCGGTAAAAGACTGTTCCTACGCTAAACGCCAAAAGAAACGTTACCCTCCTACCATCTATGAATTACTTAAATACAGAAATATGTTAGAAGGTATTAATTAGTTAACAAGAAAGCTTAACAACCCAGCTTTATGCAAATCACAAGCCAAATTCTCAAACGCATTCATATTTAGGTAAATTGCATCTTTTTCAGAAGAGTTAAATTGTCCTATTTTCGACCATACTGACATAAACCAATAACAGAGATTTAGATGTCCAAAAGAAAGGTTGAAATAAAATTCTGCTTAAGACAGAGATAAACCATTTAAAGTCACCATTTTTCAATCATTAAAACAAGAAACAACTGTTGTCCCTATGATTTCAGTCTTTAAAACATTTTCTGCTGATTTGCATGAGTGAAAACAAATACGTGTCTTTGATATTGTGAAAAAGTGTTTAGGGCTCCCAAAATTGAAATAGTAGGACACTAGGACCACTTAAATTTTGAACACTGAATATCCTCTAGCGGATGAGACGAGTACATGTTTTATTGAAATCTCAACTGAGACTGCATGCCACTGTTTCCGTAACAACATCAAATACATAACATTGTTGCTATGACAGCAGAAATATATATCTTTTATCACTTTTCATTGCAATACTTCAATTCTGATATTCAGTGTTTACTTTCCCACTATGTGAAGAGCTTAAACAATAATCAGCTGCCTGCCTCGAACATGACTACCTGGTGTGTAATCATAAAAATAGTTTGGGTCCATGGTTACGACCCGGGCTAATCTTTACAGGTCTAGCCAAAGAGCTAAGATATCAGGCTCGACAACTGACTTGCTGGTTTAAATTCTATTTCTGTGATATTCTTGTTGTTTTCACTGTCCTTTGTCGATAGATTTTTATAATCTAACTTTATTTACTAGGAATTTAAGGGGCAGAAGAGAAAGAGTATGGTTTTACACCCTTTTATCAATATAACAGAACTGACTGACTGACTGAGTTTGGTTTTACGCCACTTTTAGCAATATTCCAGCAACATCATGGCGGGGGAACACCAGAAATGGGCTTCACACATTGTACCCATGTGGGGATTCGAACCCGGGTCTTCGGCGTGACGAGCCAACGCTTTAACCACTAGGCTAACCCACCACCCCCAATATAACAGGAATATCACCATGGGGTAAATCAGAAATGGGCTTCACACATTGTATCCATCTGGGGAATCGAACCCGGGTCATTGACGAGAAGAGTGAACGCATACACCACTAGACTACCCCATACCCCTAAAGGGGCAGGAAGGGGGCAGAATCTCAAATGGGGATGAATATGACAGTCCATGAAATATATCAGCATGACAGCATTTCCAAAAAGTGTCACACCTGGTCATTCAGACTACTAGCAAATAAAGAATTAATAAGACAAATAACATTAAAAATCATTTTCTTAAAGACATCAAAGAATGTAACACTCCTACTGCAACAACACTATTCACAGACACCACCTTACTTATTAACACTCCACTATCTATAAGTGGAGCTTCAAAAATGTTTGGTTTGTCAAGCCAAGGTTACGACCCGGCCTACTCTTCGTCAGGTCTAGCCTAGGAGCTAAGGAGCCTGCGAATTAGAGTTGCTCATGATACTTAAGTGACCACAATACCTTTATCTTCCACCTAGTTTCATGATATCATTGTACACCTATTTAAATTATATGGTCATTTTTTTCATTTAAAAATTGGTTTGTATATCGTGAAATATTCTAAAGAACACAAACTGATGCAAATTTTTTTTTTTTTTGTGGTTAATTGACAGGTAGACATTTCATGATTAACTTTATAGTGAAGGCAGAATTGGATTTTTAAAACATATGCAGAGTTGTCTCCCTTCAATACCTGGGATGGATTGACAGATCTACAACTCTAAATATTCATTATTGAACACACTAGCCAAAATGAGAAATCAACACATGACAATTTAAGAAACATATACAGTGGAAACCTGATAAGTAAAATTTCAAGGGACTCGCCAAAATTGTTTACTTATCAGGTATTTTACTTATCCAAACTTATAAAACCTGCAAATGACAACCATATGCATGTATATGTATGCATATGTAACAATGAACAACTTATCAGGGCTGGCCTCCAGTTGTCAGTGTATTGTCAACTGCTTGACGCCAGCGAGCTGTAAGTAGGATGTTTGTTTGACTGGAGACTGACACGACTGCCCCTCATGTCGGATTATGTGGTGATCGCCAATTTAGTTATCCAGTCTCTTTTGTTAAGTAATTTACTTCCAGGGACCTTGAGAGACATTTAGTTAAGCGGAATTGTTTACTTATCCGAGTTTAGTTAACCAGACTCTAATAGTGATAATTAATGAAGAAATTTGCCGGGACCAAAGAAAAGTGTTTACTTATCAGGTCTGTTTAGTTAAGCGGTCTTTACTTAGGCGGTTTCCACTGTACTCAAATATTTTTGTTTGTTTCGTGTCTTTCATACATCAAATCGGGCTAAGATAGTGCTCAATCATGCACCTTTCATACCTGTATTAAATTCTCATACTATTCTGGATAATGAAAATACAACAGCACGTAGAACTGACACTAGAATAGATCATAATTAAATGTTAAGCAGCATATATTCTTCTGCAATGAAAAATTTCATTGACAGGGTGTTAGTTGATCATGTTGATCGACCAGCATTCATTGACATATTTTCCGAGAATCCTCATCTCAACACCTTTTAGTGCCGTGTAATTACTTCTGGAAATCGGTTTGTAGACAAGCAGGTTTTAACACAAAATACTGCCCCATTTAACAGCAATTTGTGCCCTGCTCTGAACACTTTTTTGGTGATGTGACACACGTAAAAATATGAATTGGCTGTTTCATTCTAACATTCAACATTTCAAAGCTTTCATTAACAATTTTAGTTTATACAACATGAAAAGTTATAATCCATAAACATTTTGGTCCTTGAACATGGTATTTCGACCATATTAGATACAACTTTATTCTCATGTCTTAGATTGTATCAATCTCTTACAGCTGCGTAAATAATCACTGTGTACAGTGAGTCTTGATTACTCGGACAGTCAGTTGACTATAACACTCTGTCATGTGGGCCATGATAATAATGACAATAGCCAAGCTGCTGTTATCTAATGTGTATCGACTACAGTATGTTTGATTTCATTTGAGACCGATGAATTGTTCACTAACACAATATCTAATACATGCAACAAAACCAAATTCTGCACAGTCACATGTCCCTAACGCTGATGATTCGTCCCATAATTTTGGACAGCCGAATAAAAAAAGTTGTTTTACAAACGATCATTATTTTCGGTAACCTCCCAAAACCCCTACAGCCCATAACCCCTACAGCCTATCACAACAAAGTTCTTGGTCCAGTGCACTGCTAATCTCCTGCCTGTTACCTATTTCATACAATGGACCAGCCCAAACACTTAGAAATTAAGAGAATGATTTTAATGAGCAACAAGAAGACAAAGTCATCAATATCCCCCGCAATGGCAAAATACTCTTCATGATTATGTCTACGAGTTATGATTATGTCAAATATTTAGGTGTGTATATAGAAAAGTGGAAGGAGAGTATTGAAAGGTTTTTAAAGTTCTGCTCCAGAAAGCAGCACTGTCACCAATTTCAGTCAAACTTGTTGCCATGGAAATGCCAAAAATATTCTATTGAGAATTCCCAAACTACTAAAAGGCACCAGTACACCACCAGAGCCATGTATGTGCCAAGTTTGGTGAAGAAATATTGAACGGTTTTAGAGTTCTGCTCCGGAAAAGAGCACTACCACTAATTTCAGTCAAAGTCGAACTTGTTGCCATGGAAACGCCACAAATATTTTATTCAGAATTCAAAAACTACCAAAAGGCACCAGTACACCACCATATCTATCCATGTACCTAGTTTGGTGAAGAAATATTTAACGGTTTTAGAGTTATGCTCCGAAAAAGAGCACTACCACTAATTTCAGTCAAAGTCGAACTTGTTGCCATGGAAACGCCAAAAATATTTAATTCAGAATTCCAAAACTACCAAAAGGCACCAGTACACGACCAGTTCCATGTATGTGCCAAGTTTGGTGAAGAAATACTGAACGGTTTTAGAGTTCTGCTCCAGAAAAGACAAATGTGCACGGACGGACGGACCGACGGACGGATGGAGTCCATTTTAATACCCCCACAAAACACGTTGCAGGGGATAATAACCAAACTAAGACTTTGAGAGAATGGTTTTAATGGATGATGACAAAAGTATTCTAACAAAAGTTAAATAATATTGAACTTGAGGTTTTATTAACTTCATTAAATATCATAACATATTAAATGCTTTTATGTTTTATTTTTCTACATATTATCAACCTCAAGCAAATTGGTTTTGCTATGTTCCAGCCTCTCGATCCCCATTTTATTTCACTTGTTATCTTTGCACCCCCCAAAACATGAAATCTGAAATAAATGCATTACAAACTTCAGGAAACAAAATGTGCAAGAAACATTTTGTGTGTTTGAGATAGGTAGAAGTCCGCTAGAATCAAACTTAGATATTAAAGTGCATCCAATATAATACTGAACATATTTGATGGGATATTTTCTGAGGGCATACCCTTATCCAAGAGGTACCAAATGACAGATCGTTTTTCATTTTCTGCAAAATGTTTTAAAGGAATATTGTACCCCAAATGTATTATGATGACTAATATCTCGTTAACCACATTACCCACATATGTGAAATTTTGGATATGGTTTTTCTAATAATTTCTTCAAAATATAATGGAAGTTTTTCAAACATTGGACATCGGGAATATGGGCTGACTACCTTTTTTAACACCCCTTGTACATACCACCCCAAGTCATCTCAAATTATTTATCTCAGTTTACTATCTCCAACACTATTAAAACAGATATTATTACGATTTGCAAAATCTGCCTACTCACTATGTACATCAGAAAGCTAAAAAAACAAACTAGTTCAATTATTTAAAATGAATTATTAAAACCCCACCAACAACAGCACAATCTTAATCCCTTCTCATCTGTATACTCTATGCAGCTCACACTGTACACTCCACCCTGTAGTCTCTCCTTTGGGTCAGTTTATTATCCCAGACAGGTAAATGCCGTGTGTGTTTAAGGGGTACTAGGATGTAGGGGTTATCGGCTGTAGGGGTTTTGAGAGACAACCTTATTTTCGCTATCTTTACGAGGTGGGCCCACTGGCCGGTAAAACAGCCAGGGAAGTGCATTGCATGCGTGAAATTGAAATTTCACAACACACTTGTTAATTACCTAGCTGTTCTACCAGCGATTTGGTTTTGTTGCAATTATTAGATTTTGTGTTAGTGTGCAATTCATCAGTCATGACAGAGGGTCATAGGTCAGCTTCCTGTCAGTTTACGCTAGAACGTTAGGACCACAGATCCTATCCATAAAATGTTTGCAGCACTGTGCTGTATGTAAGCTTATGATAAACCATAGAGTTACAGTAGGTTGTAACTTTATGATCACTTTGTAGATTGTATATTATTATAGTCTTAACTTGTTAGTCGTTTTGATAGAAACACACATATGTACATGATATAAATTATACATAACTTAAGACTTAAGAGTTATGAGGGACTTTAAAAGTATATCTGAAAAAGAAAGATTCAAACCTAAAATAATGCAATCAGTCTATAAAAAGATACCTTGATAAAATATATACAATTTGTAAATCGGGACCCTGGTGTCTAATCATGGCAATACAGTCCTCTGAATCCAAGATTCTATGATAACCATATCTATGATTAGATGCCATGGTCAGAGGACTTTAACGTATTTCAACCCTGACCAATATTAACAAAACCTTAGCTCCTGATATGTTTAAACCGCAGTGTTTTGATGACCATATTTTAACAGATGCTCACGAGCTTTATGCTTAACTGCGAAAAACACCAGTAAACAGTTCATTCAGGACCAAACTGAGCAGACTTATCACCTAAATCAATGTATGAAATAAGGCCCGTCCGACGGCCGAGACAGGCTAGATTTCTGGCGGACGGTCTAATTTTACAGCTAGCCAGCCCGATGGCCGGGTGAAAAAATATATTCAGAAAACGCATCCATTGGCACTGTCTATTTAGTATTTAAGAAGGACTGGTTAAATCTCTTGTGGGCTAGTAAGTTTTTGAAGTTACCAGCCCAGATGTATGGCTGGGTTTTTTGGCTTATTTTACACACTGCCTAAATATTACTTACACATATTGATCAAACAATACGATAATAAAATTTCTATATTATCTGTTCGTTTATGTGAATATACAGTTATGAAAAGGCTTTTATGCACAAGGCATACAATTAATTAAAACATATTACAAAAGAAAAGACATGATAATATTTATTTATGAAAGGACGAACCATTAGACCTGAAGTAAGTAAAAGATTAGCTGGTAATTTGATGTTATCTCTTCAATTTGTTAGCCTTAGGTGTGGTCTTTGTGGGTTCCAATACCCCCGCTGTTTGGTGATCATGAAAGTGGTAAATCATTGGGCAAAAAGATTGGTTGGTTGGTATGTTCTTTAACGCCTGAGTCAGCAATATTCGGATTTATGACAGTGGCCTGTAAAGAATTAGAGGCTTGACCAGACAATCCAGTGATTGACATCATGAGCATTGATCTATGCTATTGGGATACAATCATGTGTTAACCAAGACGGCGAGCATGACCTCCTGATCCCATCAACTGCCTCGTATGACAAGCATGGGTTGCTGAAGATCAATTCTTACATCTTCATAGGCCACAAAGTTGTTTGCAAAAAACGAAAAAGAGTAATAATAAAATGACTTTGTTAATGTTCTACCAACAATATATTTAACGAACAACAAGAAAAAGAGGAATTGTTTTATTTTTAGGTGCAACTTACGCCTCACGAGGAGCGTTGTACTTCCTCTGCCACTCAAACTTTATCTCCTGTTCCCCATCATCTTCCTGCTGCAACCAACGGGTTACATGTAATATGTAAGTAAACAGTCATCAGAAAAGAAGTTTGATGAAAGTGTTACCCATAGATAAGCCGAACTTCTTCTACAGGCTGTTTTTTGGGGTCTCCAAAATTCAGCTTATCTATGATAATATACGGTAAGTGATCACATTATTATGTAACATGTAAGTAAAATGTAAGTCAAGGATGGATAAACCTAGATTGCCAGACGTCCTTGTCATGCAGAAAATCAGTACACTCGCCATCTGTGCTGGTGACCAACACAATTCATAAAAAAAACTTGGAATATATTTTTACAGGAAAACAAATCTTTTTCATTTCCATTAACATATCTATGTACATTTTTAAGTTTCAACCTTTTCAGAGTTGATGATTATTGAACACTGTTGGTCCTGTCGAGCCAAAAAATTCATACCTCTTTCTTCTTCATACCTGGTGGAGCATCATACAAGAAACTCAGCCCCAGTTTTGCCTTCTCATCTCCTAGCAAGGCCCTGTAATCAGAGTCAGTAATGATATAACAATGTGGTAGCTTGTATTATCCATCACATAATTAGTTCAGTATTAGGGGTGAAACGGTATACCGCTGTATTAATGGAACCGCAGTATTTTGCCTTGGTTCAGGATACCTCAATGCAATCCAAATCAAAAATTCGGTTTTCGTATCGTTCTTCTATCTAATCACAAAATGACAGTTTTGTTCATTCAAAATAAGCTGCCATATAGCTTGAATATAAGCTGCCACGGTGACATAGCTTGAATATTGCTGAGTGCGGCGTAAAACTAAACTCACTCACTCATTCAAAATAACAAAGATTATCGTTATGTTATGTAATGTCAGTGTAGATAGAAGTACATGACTGGGTTGAAACACTCAAGGGTGAAACTGACTGGAAGTTTCAGGACTGATATGTGAGGGTCATGATGGGTCATGTTGCAAGTCGGTCTTCAAGGACCAATGACATAATTTATTATTCCTTGGCAACCTCGATTTAGTATTTGTTACTTGCAAAGGATACTAGAATAACCACATGATTCCAACCTAGAGAGATTTAACAGGTGCAAGCTCTGTTTGTGCATAAACTTCTGAATAAAATATCTTAATAATGCAAACAAACCAGTTTTAATATTGCATTAAAACAGTGCAACTGGAATTTGACTGGTGCAACTAGTTTTTGGCTTAGGTTGCACTGGTGCAAGTAGGTTAACCTCCTAAGTCAGTCCTGTGGACAGTGCTAACATTTTCAAAAATCTTTCCTACACTGGTAAATTCAGATAGTCAGGTTTTGTTCTTGTTGTCAATTTTCTGCATTATGATCATATCCCATATACCGAACAGAAACGGACTGAACCAAAGGCCTTGTACCTTTGTAAGAGCATACTGTTTCAACCCTATTCAGTTTCCACATGATCAGCAAGCGAGTCAATAAAACCCATACAAAATCCATATATTAATGATTTCTTGCACTCTGCATCATCAAGGTTTTATCCAAGGCAAAATAATGTGTCCTACATCTTGAATCCATAACACTAATCAAAGTAGGCAGCAAGTTACATATAACTGACATTGCCATTTTGGTGAACAATACGCTCAAATTTCAGAATTTCACAGGTTATTTTTCTTTAAACTAAGACTGAATAAAAAATTGAAGTTCTCTGTACTCATCTATAGTATAATATCTGAAGTTTCATAACAGGTGCTGTGGTATGATATCAGTAAAATTCTTAGAAATCAAGTGAAGCAAGTCACTTGCTGGACTCAGACCTAAAACACCATTACCATGGTTACTGACAGCCCCTGGAGTCGGTTCCACAAAGCTATTCTACTGGCAAACAAGGATAAGTTGAGCACCGACCTAACAATTGACCCGTATTAGCATGTATGAGTGCCGCCCACTGGCACTTGCCATTGTGAGTGAAGGGGCCCCAGGTTGTCAGCGATCAAGTGTAGTGCTACACCGACCATGTGAGAGTTTTATGTCCTTGTTTGCCAGTAGTGCATGGTAACTCCACCACTTTAACAAAGACACGACTCTCACTGCGCTAGGATCAGTTGAGGAATGGGCATCTGGACACTAAAATAGATATGTCAAGGAAAATCGCTCTCGTCTCACCTGTTGCTTAGCATCTCTTGTTCTTTTTGATATTGGTTCATTAGATCCTCTTGCTTTTTCTTTTCATAGGTGGTCTTTTGTTGAGCCATCCATACCTGGAAAGATAGAAGTACATGACTGGGTTGAAACACTCAAGGGTGAAACTGACTGGAAGTTTCAGGACTGATATGTGAGGGTCATGATGGGTATGTTGCAAGTCGGTCTTCAAGGACCTTTCGTCAGAATTTATTATTCCTTGGGGTTAGTGAAAAACACAACACAAAAATAAAATGTGAAATATCTCTTTTGAAATTCAGATTGTCAGTCTCTGTAAGGAAACATTCAGACAGTTGGTTCTGCTTTTAATTCACTGCTGCAAATTTGTGGTTTGCAGATACCAAATTCTGTTTGGTCACATGTCATATATGAAACAACAGCAACATCTAAATTTATGCTAAGCTGTTGTTCAGTGACATTTTACGATAATATATTATGATGAAATTCAGACTCAGTGTATGTGTATGCCTGGATATAGGGTACCAGTCGAATTGCCCCAGCAAATTTGGTCAAATTGCCCCAAGAGGGGCTTATTGAACGCGTGTAGATTTAATTATTCTAGTAAGATGGACTGTTCCTGAGTACAGTTGTTCCAAATGTGACTGCAATAATAAAAAATCGGTAAGATGAAAGATTTATAGATAATTTCTAAACTTTTACCTGCTAGTCGATGTTTCAACTTCTTAAGCAGTAGTGGGCAACTGAATTCAATGGACTCTACTTTTCATAGAGTTTATATGAATATCCCAGTTACAGTTATTTCGAAGGGTAAAGCATAGATGTTTGTGATATTATTTGTCTTGAATTAACCGATCGTTCATTGTAAGATCAGATTTGATGTTTCTGTTTAGTTGTCTACTAAACTGTATTGATTTCGTTTTGTTAGGATTGAATGAAGCATTCCATTTTTTGGCCCAATTTGAAATTCTAAATAGGTAATTATTTAAACAGTCTGCAGCTATGTCAGGGTTATCAGTTATAACATGTAGAGACGTGTCATCTGTGAAAAATCTATTTGTGTGATTATATAAACATTTGATCTAATTTTTGTACTTCTTTATATAAGCATTAATAACATGCATAATAATTGGTATTTGTGTTTTCTATACAGGGATATTCCTTTTGCTTTTATGAGTTTACTAATGGGACTTTTATCAGAAATATTACTTCCTTATAACGTTTATATGAAGAATATAATATCAAAGTTGACAAAAACTAAACATTTATAGCATATATTTAATCATTTTAAATAAAGTGGGCCATTCATTTTGACTACCCCCTGAGGCAATTTGACCAAAAATATGGGGCAATTTGACCAAATTTGCTGGGGCAATTCGACTGATACCTGGTTGCAGCCACCATTTTGCTGAGTGAGTGAGTTTAGTTTTACGCGCCACTCAGCAATATTCCAGAGTTTTTACTGGGCGGTGGGATAAGCCTAGAAGTGTTTGCTCATCACACCGAAGGCCCCGGTTCAATTCCCAACATAGGTACAATGTGTGAAACCCATTTCTGGTGTCCCTCGCTGTGATATTGCTGGAATATTGCTAAAAACGGCGTAAAACTAAACTCACTGACCATTTTACTGTAACAATAAAATTCAATTTCACTGGAAATGGGTGACATAAACATCATACGTCTTCACATATCATGAAAACAATGTAAATAAAGACCGATTATGACCATATTAGAGATATTTATGATAAAAGCAAGCTATTTCTCCAACATTCAAAATGGTTACTAAACTGATAAGACGACATCACACCAATAACAATCGATTTGTTTATAGTATATTAGCAATCGATTATAGTACATTAGTTTATAGCTAGTATAACTGGTAAGAAAAGAGATGTTAACCAGGTTTATAATTCTGATCAGTTCACCAATCACACTGCGACTGGGGCAATATGCTGAAAATGACGTCTGAGAAGTAATATTCAGTCGTCACAATGGTGTAACTCACTCGTTTTATGTTATCCTTGCTAGCTGGATGGAAGAACTTCTTGGTCATATAATTGTTGAAACCCTTCCCCATCTTGATCTGTATGTGCGCACCAGTCGAGAGAAATATCTGAATATATAGGTCTATAAATGAAACGTTTCTCTGTCGTCTAAATACCGGAAGTACATCTTTTGCAAACTCCTTGCAGCGAATCCTATGCCTTCGATTTTGAGAGAAACACACGCAATGTACAGAGTTCGTATTGTTGATGTTTTTTCAACGATTGTATATGGTCGATCTTTGGTCGATTATGTCATTTTCAAACGTGAACATTAATACGACATTGATATTAAACTGATCTCAGCAGTCACAATCGTGTGCTCTGCATTTGCCCGAGGCTCCGTTTACCAGTTTAGGAGCCTCAGTTTAGTGTCTGTATAGTTCCAACTGAGCGAAATTTCGTTGGCGTGCTCTTGCATAACAAAATATAAACTTAGCATGGTACTGCGTTACGCGTGTCGCTTTAGGTACGTTCCCACTTCGTAATTGTCCCGTCTAGACTTCCTTTGGCGCAGTAAAGTTGTAATTTTATTTGCACTCGAAGGTAGTCTGATAAATATGTTGGTGTTTGTAAAACGACAGATTTTGTGTTCAGTTATTGAAAGGGCATGGGACAGTAAAGGGGATTCTCAAATCTAAATGAATTACGATGTCCTACTTTATAGTGTTACAGGGTCCTAGTTTATAGTGTCCTAGTTTATGGTGTTACAGGAGACAAATAAGATTTTGACGTGTCCTGTCTTGCAATATTCAGATTAGGTTGTCCTTCAACAGGTGTAGATACATGCAGATAATACAACGACATATTGTGAAGATGTCATCAGACGCTCAAACCTCAGACCATCTTCAAAGAACTGCTGACAGTTCCAGACAAAAAGTAAGGATTTGTCTCAGATATTTACAGTGGGTAAGAGTTCCTCCCATTCCCCCATCCAAAATGATGTGTATAGATTAATATATACTAAGAACATACTGGGACATAAAACAAAATCTGACTTGACTTTGACCTAGTAAATGAACCGATCACATATGCAGTGTAGTTGCCTTTTACGACAAGCATGGGTTTGCTGAAGATCAGTTCTAACCTGGATCTTCACAGGTGGAGGGGCGTTGGGGTATCCTAATGGTTAAATGATCTGCTCGTCACGCTGAAGACCTGGGTTTCGATTCTCTACATGGGTACAATGCAGAGATGCCAACTCATACGATTTTATCGTATTCCTTATGGAAAAACAAGTAAAAATACGCGACTACAATAGCAGTAAATATATACGAATTCTTCATACACAATAATTTAAAATTGAAACCACATCTGATTAAGTATCAAGCAATATGTTTTTACTACTGATTTAGGTGAGTACAATGTTAATAACAAGTTCTTAAACTTAAATATGAAAATTCTTTGGAAAGGGTAATACGAATTTTCACCCCAAAATACTAATTTTTGCATCAGTTTTGGCCAAAATACTAATTGGGCTAAATTAGGGTTGGCATCTCTGACAATGTGTGAAGCCTATGTCTGGTGTCCTCTGCCATGATATTGCCGGAATATTGCTAAAAGTGTCATAAAACCATATTCACTCACTCAGTTCACAGGTTGACCATTTAGGCTGTCCCACAGTCTGTGACTAAATCATTTACCATCCCCCAATCTAGTGTTGGGAATTGGAAGGAGTGCAAAGAAAGGGACCGTGAGCCAGGTGTGCGAGAAAGGATGGAGATGGTACAGCAAAGGTGCAATTGTGAACATGCTTCTGGAACACCTGGCTGTCCCTTTCTCTGCACTCCCCCCTTGTAACAAATAGTGAACTGAGTCAATATTTTAATGATAGTTTGGTAAACAACTTTTTTATTTTTAGAACATAAATTCTGCAAACACCTCACAGAGTTGGTCTGATGCTTTGATTATGATAAGCGTTTCATTGAGTATTTTATGTTTATTAGTTTTCGAGTTAGATTGCAATCCATCGGTCCGCTTTTGAGCCAAACGGACTGTAAATTGTTCACTGGTCACAAATGGCCCATGGTTTGATGTACCCTCTATGTTTGTTTATGTTTTCTGAGCCCGAGGGGCAAGTGAACAACATATTTATCTAACTGAACTCCTCAATATTAATTTTGAACTGTTTGAAGCATAGGTATTGGATCATAATACCGAATATTGAAGTTAAGCAATTAGCCAACACCGACACCGACGTATGACAAGAATTGTTTTTTAGAGTTATATCCCTTCCATCAATTTGCATTCACAAAACATTGTGACACAATTATTCAAGATAAAGAATTACCAACACAAGGTACCAAATGAATTCCCACAGTTCGACATTCCCGGCAGGTAAAATAGAAAATGTTACTTGCTTGTAAGAGGGGTACATTCAAAATAATAGAAGAGTGCTCAGCCAATCAGAAAATGACATTTATGTGTGAGGTAAGATAAGGGGCATTGTCACATTGCTCTTTACCTCAACAAGAAATATCACTGAATTCTTTCAACATGAGCAACTATATGACATTTTTGTTGATTTCTTAACATTTAATAAACAAAGTATTCATGAATAAACATTCATACTTGTTTCTTTATGTTAATTAAATATGTCATATTTGTCTCATAGTGAATTCATATTGCAGCCTTAGTATGTATATTACCAGATAATGTCATCTGCAACTGTGTTGAACATCCAAGACGAGTCACGCACTGTCAAAAGTCTGTACTTGAAGATCCACAGTGAAGACTTCAGCTTTAAGGCCGGTCAGTGGTGAGTGAACTATATAACTCTTTTGTATGGCAGTGTGTAGAAAAGATTGCTTATTTTATAATCCTGAAATGTATACTCCAATTTGTGTGAGTTTAGTTGTTACAGTTAAAATACTTATTTTCCTAAAAATGTATTTTTCAAAATCTTATTCTGTTAAATTTCTAGTTTTTGATTCAACCAAGAGTAATTTTACTCTTATTTTGCTTAATTCCTTTGCCCCTTTTTCAATAACCCTCTAAAGAGAGGGACCGCCTCCGTGGTGTAGTGGTTAGAGCGTCCGCTCGGAGAGCGGAAGGTCGCGGGTTTGATCCCCGACCGCGTCATACCAAAAGACGTTAAAATATGGTACTTGTTGGTCCCTGCCTGGCGCTCGGCATTAATGGGTACAACAAAGACTGGTCGGCTCGGAGTCAGTATAATGTGTCTGATTGGGGTATTCATGCTTCACTGCGGCATGGTATCTCAGTGGGCTAGCACTATAAAACCAGCTTCAGTCTGGGCTAGTACAAGCAGCTGCACATACACATACACACGCATGCACGTCATCATATGAGCGAAATATTTTCAAGTACGACGTTAAACCCAATTTCACTTCACCTCTGAAGAGAGGAAACTGTCTCAGGGCATGCCATTGAAGTCATGTGCTTTTACGCAGCTTTCAGCAATGCTCCACCAATATCATGGCAGGGGACACAGAAATTGTCTTCGCACATTATACCCATGTAATGTGGAGAGCAAACGCTTTAACCACTAGGCTAACCACCGCCTCGTATACTCCAATGTAAATCAATCCCAATCTAGCAGGGTCTTCTTTTACAACAAGATTTTCATAGGACATATTCATCTGGATGTTTAGTTTGTCGTTTTAGAGCCAAACTCAACACTACTCCAGGTTTATGACAATAGCCTGTAAATAATCAAGTCTGGATCAGAGAAATCTAGTGAACTCTCAACTCTTGACACGATTAGTGGTGTAACGATTCATCGATAGTATCGATGTTTGCATTGTCAACTACGCGATACGAGTGCATCGATACAAAACACATTTAGGCAATATATCAGGATATTTATATCGCAAGGGTCCACGATACATCGATGTATTGCCACAAGAGACTATATATCCCGATACAACTTCAATACTAGTTAAAGTTGTAAGGAGTATTGCATTAGCAATAGGAAGGGAGTCTCATTAAAATTCTTCTGAAGTTTAAAAACAAATTGAACCTTTTAGGAATTTGTTTGTGTCTGTTATCTTTGTTACATGGACAAAGGAGTTGGTGTATAAGTGAAAGAGTGTGAACATTTTTCAAACTCTGTGAACTGTAGAATACTTGTCTTTAGTAATTGAAATATGTTTTAGTTGTTTGACAAATAACACCATTTATTAACATACACGAACAACGTCTTAGCTTTGTTAAGAAAGAGAACAAAGAGAAGATAAAATTTAGAAAGCATAGTATTAAGAGTTTTTTTCAGTGATTCTGAATTCTGATATAAATTACATTCAATTGTTTGTGAAAGCATCGGTGCAGAAACATACTTTCCTAAACGAAACTTCGGTTTCAAACTTATATATGTTAGATCAAAGTATACTGAATATGTTTGACTGTACTTTAAAAGCATTAAATGCTGAAACTTTATTAAATAATAGCTTTTTTAAGTGTGTGTGAATGTAACACAAGATATGCTGTATAACAAATAAAGATTCAGTCATTTTATCTATCATATATGTTCTGCTATTAGAAATTGTAAAGTATCGGGATACGTATCGTATCGCCACCATTGTATAGTGATGATAATCGTCTCGCAGGTTCCTTGCCAATACTTTCATGATATATCGGCTCGCCTAATTAAACTGGTATCGGGATATATCGTCTTGCCACTTAGACCACGATACACAGCTCTAGACACGATACAATAACACACTATCAGTCAAGTCACAGAGTCTGAGGGTCAGTGGGGTAGCCTAGTGGTTACAGTGTTTGCTTGTCGCAGCAGAGATCCCGGTTCGATTCCCCACATGGTTACAATGTGTGAAATCCATTTCTGGTGTTCCCTGCTGTGATATTGCTGGAATATTGCTAAAAGCTGTGTAAAACTAAACTCACTCACTCACAGAGTCTGACCACTGATTTATTAAGTCACTTCTCAGCCATCAGGTGACCAATTCTAACCCATGACCCCCCATGACATCAAACCATGATATTACGGTGTGCATAGTATCAGCACCTGTTTTTGAAAGTTAAACAGTGCTAGAACTTGCACTATACTGATAAAGTTTATTCCCAATTATAACATTTGTTACGTAACCCCTGAAGAGTCCGGTTAGAACTGATCTTCAGCCATCAATGCTTGTTGAAAGAGGCGACTAATGGGATCGCTGACATCGTGGACACGTCATCGTGGATTCATGCTCATGATGTTGATCACTGGATTGTCTGGTCCAGGCTTGATTATTTACAGACTGCCATCATATAGCTGGAATATTGCCAAGTGTGGCACAGAACAACAAACAATGATTTGTCCCTGAAAACGAGGAGTATTCTGTTTTGTATTTCTTTGGCTAATGTCGTAGGACATTTAATCATTGTTATAAGTGGTGTAAATTCTGCAGAAAAAGATTTGATAGGACTTGTTTACAATAGAAGATTCAAGTTTGAGGCAAAGTTTAAGTAGAGTTACTGTGGCATAGTGTGAGTTATCGCAGCGCGCTGGACATCAGAAATAGGCTCCACACTTTGTACCTACGTAGTTAATCAATCAAACCCAGGCCTTTGGTGTAAAGAGCAAATCACTGGGCTCTAATACTGCCCATTACTGTAACATATTTTCCACAGAGGTTGACTATTACTAGTGCTGGTATTGTCATACAATGATACATCCTGCGAAACGATACATCACAATACTTACATTTTAGTCATGACGATATATTGCCAAAGTATTGTGCACTGAAGCTGCGATTCGATACGAATTTTCGATATATTGGTGGCGATATGATATGTATCATGATATTAAAATCTTTAATTCTAGCACCAAATATAAATCCCCTTAAGATCAAAACAAAACCATTCCTGGAAACGAGATAATTATGTTTATACAGTGAAAACGTACCGATGAATTTCACTTTAAGCAAAAAAAGTAAATCAAATAAAGACTGCGAATCATCATAAATTTGCCTTACCAACTGAACATTTAAATCTCAGAATTTTATTCATTGTAGGACAAAAGTTGTTTAACAAACGATCATACATTCAAATCGCTATTATTGGTTTGTATTACAAGGGGGTGAGCGCAGTAGATGGAACAGTGAAAGAAATGCACGTGTGTTTCATGATGAGTGTTAACTTAGACCAACTCTAATTGTTCTCGGTGTTTCATTTAATGTGCATACACCCTTGTAATACAAACCAATAATAGCGATTTAAAACTATGATCGTTTGTTAAACAACTTTTATCCTAAGTTGAATAAAATTCTGAGATTTAAATGGTCAGTTGGCAAGGTAAAATTATGAGGATTCTCAATCTTAATTTCATCTTATGCGAGTTACTTTCTTGTTTAAATTGACCTTCCTCGGTACGTTTTCAACACAAACAGACTATAGTGTAAATGTCGCCACTTACTTCAGTCAACTGTTTTAAACTTGATTTTGCAAATTTTCCATTTAGTTTAAAGGTACTCTTTGCTCATGAACTAATGTATTGAAAAACAAATTCGTAACGTTGAAAAGATTATTGTCATGAGTTCAGTAAATGATGAAAATCAGTGAAAATTGGCATATTCTTAACAAATCTTTACACCAAAATGCAGCTGTTCACATGAACAATATTTGCACATGCATTTAAAGCGATTTGATGCATGATCATCTGCATAAGGTTTGCAGTTGGTTCACCCAAGTTAGAGAAGAAATTCATTTTCGATGTAACCATATATATATACATAACATATAGTGAGTGCTTTAGGTGAGTCTAAACTTTTGATGGGGAGTATAGTTGTAATTCTAAAATTGCCTCATGCAAGTGATCCCTGGTCTCGGGGTTAAACAGTACGCTCTTACACCGGTGTGGTACAAGGCCTTTAGTTCGGTCTGGTTTGGTGCATGACATACAGTCATCCCTCGCAATAACACTCTTCGCGATACCGCAGATTTGTTTAAACCGCGGGGTAATCCGTGGCTCCCATAAATACTTTGACCAGTGATCACACATATTCACGTCATCGAAAATAGCACATCAACAAATCCGCTGTTGAGCTCTGGTTAATCACGTTGTAAACTAGTGAAATTCAGTGCGGAGTGCAATTAACAGTGTTTATCGTACATATCCATGGTTTTTCAGATGCTTAAAACATGCAGGTTTTTTTTCAATAATAATAGATGAACAGCGAAACATCGCAATAACTTTATCATAAAGACCATCAGCCGAGTATTTAAAATATTTGCTGTGATGCAACACACCACGTAATTGCGCGGGTAAACACCGCCATCCCATTTGTATTTGAAAACTTTTAAAAAGGTTAGTAAAATGACAGTACAAAAACCAATAATACTGAATTGTTGGATTGCATTCCTTTATACCAAACCCAAGTCAAAATACCGCATTTCTACTAATCCTGCGATATACTATTTCACCCCTACCCTGGTCGGTACGTTAGTTGTGAGAGACCAATGCACAAGAAGAAGAACTGCATGTGTTTTAGTACCTCGCTGCAACTTGATACACACAATGTCCTTCCTTCACTTTGTGCTGGCACTCAGCCATTTTTACCCATCATGCCATGTTGTGTTCAGGGTGGATACCTTCATCCCAGGTCTAGATACAATGACAGGCTTCTCCATGTGCTCGTCACCTGGTCTGCTACAGAGGGAGGGGATGATGCATCTGGCTGTCAAACGTAGCCCTCATCCACCAGCAGAGTGGGTCCATACAAAGGTCAGATTGTGTGGTTAACTTACAACTCTGTGAAATATTTGTTTGTGTGTTATTCAACACCATTGTCTTAACATCTGATCGAACCTTTCGGTCACAAGTGAAATAATGGGTAAGGCAGGTTGCCTGAAACATTAGTGTTTTGTTTTCAGCCTGTCATGAAGAAACAGATTTATAGTCCGTTTGGCTCAAAAGCGGACCGATGAATTGCAATCTAACTCGAAAACTAATAAACAGAAAATACTCAATGAAACACTGATCATAATCAAAACGTCAGACCAACTCTGTGAGTTTTTTGCAGAATTTATGTCCTAAAAATAAAAAAGTTGTTTAACAAACTATCATTAAAATATTGACACTGTTCACTATTTGTTACGAGGGAGGAGTGCAGAGAAAGGGACAGCCAGGTGTTCGAGAAAGGATGGAGACGGCACAGCACAGGTTACTGAATCAATAACTTTGTCGGTACTTGTGCACGTGCTACTCTAACACCTGGCTGTCCCTTTCTCTGTACTCCTCGCTCGTAACCACAAGTGAACTGTGTCAATATTTTAATGATAGTTTGTTAAACAACTTATTTAAGTTTAAGACATAAATTCAGCAAACAAATCACAGAGTGGGTCTGATGTTTTGATTATGATCAGCGTTTCATTGAGTATTATATGTTTATTAGTTTTCGAGTTAGATTGCAATTCATCGGTCCGCTTTTGAGCCAAACGCACTATAGCTGAGTTGACAATGCCTGCTAGAGACAAGGAACATTCTCTATGCTTGAAGTAGTGTGAATTAATTAAATAAAACTAATTAACATTAGTAGACATCACCCTGAAATGTTTTGATACAGATGAAATATATGAACACTCTGAATCCGCCTGAGACTCCGCCAGTAGTCCCTGCGATGATTCGGGTAGAATTGGTCTTCAGTAACCCATGCTTGTCCTAGAGGGATTGGAGGGTCAGGCTCGCTGACTTGGTTAACACATGTCATCATATAGCTGATGCTGTTGATCACTGGATTTTCTGGTCCAGACTCGTTTATGTACAGGTCACTGCCATATAGCTGGAATATTGCTGTGTGCGGCATTAAACATCAAACAGCCACCAGTAGTGGCAACAAGACCGCCTCCGTGGTGTAGTGGTTAGAGTGTCCGCCCGGAGAGCGGAAGGTCGCGGGTTCGATCCCCGACCGCATCATACCAAAAGACGTTAAAATATGGTACTTTTGGTCCCTGCCTGGCGCTCGGCATTAATGGGTACAAGGACTGGTCGGCTCGGAGTCAGTATAATGTGTCTGAGTGGGGTATTCATGCTTCACTGCGGCATGGTATCTCAGTGGGCTAGCACTATAAAACCAGCTTCAGTCTGGGCTAGTACAAGCAGACGCACATATACGTACACACGCATGCACGTCGTCATATGAGCGAAATATTCTCAAGCACGACGTAAAACCCAATTTCACCTCACCTCACCAGTAGTGGCAACCTCAACTGTATCAGAATCATCAGCAATCCATCCCGGATGAACTGTCACTTGTGGTGGCGGACTCCTTCTCTGTAGAGGCTTGATCTGACATTGTGTATGATTGTTTCTTATCACAAGGGATTATAGTGTTTTATAGTTCGTGTTAGAATTAAAGATTTTAGTATCGGGATACATATCATATTGAAACCCTTATATCGGGATTCGTATCGTGACAAAAATTTTATTGTGAGTGAGTGAGTTCAACTTTTACATCGCGTCGGCAAATTAGAGCCATATAGCGATGAAAACAAGGTAAGTATTTTAAAATATCTGTTGACAAAGGACAGTAAAATAGCTGGGTACATTGTATATCACAATTGTAAAATAAAACCAACCTGACCATAATTAAACAAAGAAGACAATAGATTCAATAATTCATTCCTACAAATTAAAACCAGGCTATAAACCACTAACAACCAAAGATTGACCACCTTGCTGGGGTTAAAATGTTTTAGTATCGTGATATATTGTATGGCAGTTTGTATGCCAATACCAGCACTAGTATCTATACTTGGCTTTTTTCTACCAGTGCAAGGTGGGGTCACAGGTGAATCTGCGTGTGGGTGGCGACTACGTCTATGACCCCCAGCCAGGTGAAGACCCACCCACAGATCTTCTGCTTGTGGCTGGTGGGGTCGGGATCAACCCCCTTATGAGTATGCTGAGCCACATCCACGACATGCATCAGTCCGAGACATCACGCAGCATGTGCCCAAATAAGGTCATCATCATGTTCAGCGCCAAAACCAAAGACGAACTTTTATTCAGGGTATAGAAATAGATTTCATTTGCTTTAAATAATTTTTTTTATTATTTTTAAAACTGAGAGAATTTAATGTGTTCAAATAAAAGGAGTGAATGGTGTTTAGTTTTACATTGCTGTTAGCAATATTCAAGCAATATCAATTTGGGGTACACCAGAAATGGGCTTTACACATATTGTACCCACGTGGGGAATCGAACCTGGGCTGTTGACATTACAATTGAATCAATTGCAGCTTGGCTATTCGTCTTTTTCAAGCAAGTTGAACACAAAGTTAACTGGAATTCACATTGAAAGAAAATCAAATTAGGACCAATTAAACAGGATGTTTTGTGTATCAGTTTGAAGATAATAATATTACTGTTAGAATTAGAGTTAAAATGTGCCAAGTGGTGATTCGCCACTGCATTCTCTTCCCACAGAGATTACTTGTCATATCTTCCTACGAACCTCTGTACTAATACGGCCACATTTCCCGGTTCTCATAAAATCCCCTAGCAGCACAAAATCGCAACACAAATTGTCTCCCTTCTTTCTATCCAATCAGAACACGTGTTACATCGACTTAGATCAAACTTGACTAATACAAGCAAATGTGGGCCACAAATATCCCTCCTCAGCCGTGGACTTGTGTTGATGTGACACACAAGACATTTAATGGCTAGCTTAACGAGGGCGATTGAAACGTCACGGTTAAGACACGTTTGCGCATCACGCAGGTGAAGAGGTTCTAGTTTTTCCGAAGCATACGGAAATTACCAAGGCCTTGTGAATGATCACTTTTGAAACAACGTCGATGATTGCACAACTAAATCTGATTGCAACCAATCCTGAACACTCACACCATGAAGGGGGCCGTATTAGAACAGAGGTTCGTAGGAAGATATGACAAGTAATCTCTGTGGGAAGAGAATGTCGCCACTGAGGCAGATAACTACATGTAGTGAAGTATCTTTCAAGGTTTTAAATGATGCAACTTGGATAACATCTCTCTAAACGTTCAGGTTCTGATATCTCAGTACTAATATCAATTTTGTGAATCGTTTCAGAAAAGAATCGACGAATTATGTAATCTGAAGCCAAACAACATGTCGTCAATGTATTTCATCACGGAGGAGAAAGGTGCAACAGAAGACAATACTGTTTGTAAGTTCACTTTGTCTGTAAACATGGTTGAGATAATGTGAAAAAAGTTCATTCCTTGATGAGTTTCGCCAAACCTTGATCATGAGTAACTTGGTCAACCCGTGAGTAACCGAGCCAAGTAACTGAGCCAACCCAAGAGTAACCTGGGCCATCTCTCAGATAACTTGAGCAACCCTTGAGCTTCTCGGTCATCCCTTAAGTAGCTTGATGATTCTTTCAGTAACTGAGCCAATGCTTCAGTAACTGGGTCAACCCTTCAGTAACTGGGTCAACTGTTCAGTAACTAGCCCAACCCTTCAGTAACTGGGTCAACTGTTCAGTAACTAGCCCAACTGTTCAGTAACTAGCCCAACCCTTCAGTAACTGTGGCAACCTTTGAGTCTTTTGGCCAGTCCTTCTGTCACTGGGTCAACCTTTCAGTGACTGTAGCATCTCATAAGTAACTCAACCAATCCTTGAGTAACCCATCCTCGATAATCTCCAGGGTATACATGGCGATAAATCTCCACTATACCCTGGATGCATCTATGGCTCAACCCAATAATTTTATTACCTCCCTTTGCTGCCTCAGCATTCTCACAGTAGCCAATCAGCTAAGCCGCATGTTACAACCGAGCTTGACAATGTCAACAAAGATAGCAGTTGCAGCCGTGAAGGTTTGTTCACAGTGCGACTCAGATTTGGAGGGAAATCATACAAATTGACAGGTCTGAAACCTTTTAAAAATATATGCAAGAACTCCTTCTACCTCTTCCAGAGTACCTCTTCAACAACTTTTTGTTGCCAAGTTAATAGGTTAGATAAAAGAAGCGAAAGTGAGTTGTGATTGGTACGCTCTACTTCCCAGCATAGACACCTGTAAGGGAGGTAATAAAATCATTGGACTGACCTGTAGATGCATCCATGGTATAGAGGATTTATTGTAACGTATACCCTGGAGATTATCAAGGATGTGAGTAACATGGCCAACTGAGTAACTGTGCCAACACTTGAGTAACTTGACCAATCCGTGAGTAATGAAATGCTTTATTCAGTGAAAATTGAGCTTTGAATAAGAATGCTAGATCAAAACCAAAACAATCCTCTTGTATTTGTTGAGGATTCATTTTGTTTTTCAAAACTGTTGAAAACATTGTTGTCTGTGATACAAACTTCACTTTCATAAAATGATCTGTATGTATTTGCAGACAACTAAAATAGAAACTGGCATACTAGTATATGATTTTAAACCAATTGCATAATTTGTAGCCAACAGGAACCAAGGAAGTTCTTAATTCCACAGCGCTCACTAGGAAAACATTTCAGGGCTCCAGATAAGGGCCGTATCGGTGTATGTACGGATAAATGATATGCACGATATGGTAGGAAACAATTTATGAAACGTAGCAGACACACACCACAGCAAGGTGTACGGTCTTAGAATCATTTACAGACGTATATATCTGAAAAAAGTATTGTTTTAATGTTTTTGTAACTGTTACCTCAAGAATACTAATGTTGTGATGCATATATGAAACGTAACACAAGATTACTGATCCCCCCATTAAATTCCATTCAGTACCCTAAATGTACCCTTAAGATTTTCCAGTACTCCCATATTAAAAAAATAAGCAGAACATACTCATGATGTTGAAAAATTATCTTGAGCCCTGCATATCTCACAGTATGAATCATAGCCTCTTACAGAGACATAGACTAACCAATACTCAACTACAGAATACTGGATCCGTGACACTAATCCCTCTAGAACCTGGCACGTTTCCCACAGAGATGATAAGGTCCACAGGTACACAGGTCCACAATGTGTCATCCGTGAAGATCTGGGTTAGAATTAGTCTTCAGCAACCTATGCTTGTCGTAAGAAGTGACTAAAGGGGATTGGGTGGTCAGGTTCGCTGACTTAGCATGACATTGTATCCCAATTGCATACATCAGTGCTCATGATGTTGATCACTGGATTGTCTGGTCCAGACTCATTCACTTCCTCCGCCATATAGCTGAGTGCGGCATTATACAACAACCACAATGGGTGCCTGTGTCTTCTCTAAACTGGAGGTAAAGATGAGTGACACTTGAGAGTTGTGTCCCTTTGGAGGACTCTCCAAATAAACTTCACAGTTAAAACGACAGAAGCAGACCATCACTTTTAAATTTCTACTGTCGTAATGGCTAGTGTGATAAACCTGGATGAAAAAATGACCTGAAAGCTACTATATTAAAATTTTGAATTAGATTTAGAAACAAAATTATATATACAAATTTGTTCAACAATCGTCAGTGACTGCTGCTGACTGTATATCATAAATACATATTGCCGACTAATTATTCCTTTCATATTTTCATAATTTTCCTATTGTAAAGTATCTGAGCAAGCTCCTGTCAACTGTTGAAAACAGTATTCTGATTGGTACTTGTAGGGTCTCCTTAACTGAAGGAGTTAGGTATCGCAGGAAGCTATAATTGCTTGCACTTGTGGCATACAACTATTGAAAATGAGATGGGCAGCATGTATACATCAAATTAATTTTAAAGGATGCCTAGCTTGGTGAAAAAAATGCCTGTAATTTAAGAAATATCCAAGAAAAACAATCAATCCAAAATGATAATTTTATTTTATTACAAAGCTAATGTTTATAATAATGATATCACCAATAGTGTACAATCCACAATGATAATGTAATTTTATTACAAACAAAAGCCAATATTCATAGTCATGATATCACCAAGAGTGTACAATCCACAAAGATAACGTAATTTTATTACAAACAAAAGCCAATATTTATAGTCATGATATCACCAATAGTGTACAATCCACAAAGATAACTTAATTGTATTACAAACAAAAGCCAGTATTTATAGTCATCATATCACCAATAGCGTACAAAAGTCTCTTATGCAATTTTAGAACATTGTGAAGAAACAGGCAGTGCAATACATTGATGGCTGTTATTTTTACAACAGCTGGTAGTATAGCAGTAAAATTACAACAGTATGAATGTCTTTGTGAAAACACTGAGGACAAAAATACAAAACTAAATTGTTACAAAATCTGAAAACAAGAATGTGATAGTGCAGAAAATTGTTGTAATGCAAAGTCACAAGTTTACATACCTGCAAGTTCACAAAACTATTTTTTAAAAGCAATAAAAGTTTATCAATGCTTTCATAAAGAAGTACACAAACATGATGTAAATGGAATCTGTGTCTCCATCTAGTCACGTCCCAGCCCATTATCAACCAGTCAGAAGTTGAACCTCCAGATGTTAAAGTCAAAAGCAGACGAAGGGACTGTTACATCAATGTGATTGTCAAATTGATATTCAAAGTGCTTCACATACACTTTCCTGATGAAGTCCAAGTGTAATGTGTGTTGTGATCCTTTATTAGTGGTACATTGTTAAGCACCAGTATACGAGTTATCTCCCTTGTGCCACTACTCAGCCACACCATTGTATGATATCAAGAATGGCTTCATACCACAGGCCCAGGGTTAAATGTGAACAACATTTGTCAAAGTACATATATGCTGAAGATAAGCTGATGTCACAGACGCTACCATGATCCATAAAATCGGTATCAAACTGGTATGTCTGATATGTAAGCCATATGGTCTCCTCATCATGCTCATGGTGATCAGCTATTGGAGGTACAAAATGAACAAATCCATACTGAACTGCGCAAGCTAATCCTCAAGAAAAAACACTCCTTTTTAAACAAGTTATGATTATTTGATACTAGTGATTGCGGATAACAAATTAAATTCATGAAGGGGTATGGTTCGATTTACTGAATATGCAAATGAATCATAAGTGCCTAGTTCACATGGCGGCACCATGTGGACAGTGCAAATTTATCCTGTCAGTTACCAGTGACTACATCAATGTCAAATTAAATACATAAAAATGTTGACTGCTATCCTGCTTGGCTTGAATATATTCCATTCTGCTAATCTCACTTTGATAAATTATATCAAATTTAAGGATAAACACTCCTTTTAAAAAAAACCCTCATGAATATTTGATTCTAGTAATTGCAGATAACGAATCAAATTCATGACGGGATATGGTTTGATTCACTGAATATGCAAATGAATCACAAGTGCCTAGTTCACACGGCTTTCATCAGCAATTCGGTTATATCACGGCATGTCAGCGGGCTGTGGAAGAAAAGACTGAAGTGAGGCAAGTTGCACATGTTACTACTTTCGTGAAACCCATTAGCACAGGAATCATGCTGACAAAGCAAGAATCATAATTGCGTCATACTAATAGCAACAGTTAGTTGATCAGGAAGAATAAACATTCTAAAAGAAAGGTGAACTTGTCCACTGAAAACAGAAGTTTTCACTGCATCATATGTAACACCTGATCTTGTGCTCCACATATCTGGTATTTCAATAAATTCCAGTGCCCAACCCACTTAAACAAATGACCTTTAGGCATTCAATAAAATGTTGAATAGAAGATCATTGTGAGACTTCTAGCCTGAAGTCCACCACATCAGTGATGTGCTGTTTGATTGGTGTAGTTAGTGAGGCTGGTGAACAGTTTGTAGATAACTGGTCAATGAAGGATGCCCTCCCATCTCAGCTACACTTCCTATATCCTCATTACTGTCTGTCAGAAGAGTCAGGTCAGCTTTGTGCTGTATTAGGAGGTCAACCACATCTTTATGTCCGTTGAAGGCAGCCTTCAATACAGGTGTGTATCCATGTCTCCCTCTACTGTTGATGTTAGAGGAAGACAGGAGGTGTTGTACTATAGCAGTATTCCCACCCTGACAGGCAAGATGAAGTAAACTATCACCAGATGTATCCACCAGTGTCAGGTCAGCTTGCTTGGACACAAGGAGGTCAAACACACTTTGATGTCCACTGACAGCTGCCTTCACCGCTGGTGTCCTTCCATGCATCCCTCTACTGTTGATGTTAGAGGGAGACAGGAGGTGTTGTACTATAGCAGTGTTCCCACCCTGACAGGCAAGATGAAGTAAACTATCTCCATATGTATCCACCAGTGTCAGGTCAGCTTGCTTGGACACAAGGAGGTCAAACACACTTTGATTTCCACTGACAGCTGCCACCATTGCTGCCGTCCATCCATGCTCACCTCTACTGTTGATGTTAGAGGGAGACAGGAGGTGTTGTACTATAGCAGTGTTCCCACCCTGACAGGCAAGATGAAGTAAACTATCTCCATATGTATCCACCAGTGTCAGGTCAGCTTGCTTGGACACAAGGAGGTCAAACACACTTTGATGTCCACTGACAGCTGACACCATTGCTGGTGTCAAGCCATACTCACCTCTACTGTTAATGTTAGAGGGATTCAGGAGGTGTTGTACTATAGCAGTTTTCCCACCCTGACAGGCAAGATGAAGTAAACTATCACCAGATGTATCCACCAGTGTCAGGTCAACTTGCTTGGACACAAGGAGGTCAAACACACTTTGATGTCCACTGACGGCTGCCACCATTGCTGGTGTCAAGCCATACTCACCTCTACTGTTGATGTTAGAGGGAGACAGGAGGTGTTGTACTATAGCAGTGTTCCCACCCTGACAGGCACGATGAAGTAAACTATCACCAGAAGTATCCACCAGTGTCAGGTCAGCTTGCTTGGACACAAGGAGGTCAAACACACTTTGATTTCCATTGACAGCTGCCACCATTGCTGGTGTCCAGCCATTCTCACCTCTACTGTTGATGTTAGAGGGAGACAGGAGGTGTTGTACTATAGCAGTGTTCCCACCCTGACAGGCAAGATGAAGTAAACTATCACCAGATGTAGCCACCAGTGTCAGGTCAGCTTGCTTGGACACAAGGAGGTCAAACACACTTTGATGTCCACTGACAGCTGCCACCATTGCTGGTGTCAAGCCATACTCACCTCTACTGTTGATGTTAGAAGGAGACAGGAGATGTTTCAGGACAGCCTTGTTGCCACCATGACATGCAAGATGAATAACGTTATTGCAATACTTGTCTTTCATATTCAAGTTTGATATTTTCCATAGTAAATCAAAACAACCTTCTGATGCTGAAAGTGCTGCAACCATGACAGGGGTTCGGCCATTCACATCAACAGAGTTTATAACATTATCTCCAGGTTTCCTATTTAACAGGATTTTCAGGGATTTTTCCATTCCTGTCTTACAGACCAGATGGAAGATGTTTTGTAACTTCTTGTCTCTAGTGTTAACATCAGCACCTTCCTGGAGCAGATACATTAGAGTATCGGAGCTGCCATTTTCAGCAGCCTGCAACAAAAGTCTTTTGAGTGTCTGTTGATGATCATGTTTTTCACAGCGAGTGAAGAGCCATTTCAATACTGTCACATTGTTGCTTTGTGCACACCCTTCCATACCTTGACTGATTTCCTCTTGAGAGAACACTTCTCCAGTTGTGTGTTCTACATCTGTAACTAGATGTGCATTATGTCCAAGAACAGCCCAGTACAGGAAACATTTTCCTTTCTCTCTTCTGTGAAACCAAAGTTCATCTTTAGAATCAGTTTGATTATGCAGATGGTGGTGCTTTGTCCCATCCCACTGAAGTTTGTTGAGCAGTTTAAAAGCTGTTGTGTCTCGTTTGAGAACTGGATGTGTCACTGATTGAGAAAACTTTCCTTGTTTAATAGAATCTGCAAGCCTTGTTGTAAGTAGGTCATCATAATTATCTGAGACATATATCAGATGGAGATGGTCATCAACTGTTGTTTCTTCAACTTTTTCACCTTGTACTCTTTCAAACAGAAAGTCATCACTACAGTTCTTCAAAACAAAGACTGGACTGATATTGAACAAGGCACAGGCACAAGCATCATAGACTGAAGAATGAGCAAAGCCAACAGTGTCTCCTCTTGTGAAGAAAGTACCTCTAAAACTTTTAGCGGCTTTGTACATGCCTGAACGTGTAGCATTTGGCATCAGGTCTTGAACAGTTTTTACCATCCTGTCCATTTCCTTGTCTTCATCTCCACTGTCTAACCTGGTCAGGTTCAATTTGTCTTCACACAGCAGCATCAGAACCAATATGGCCGATCTATCATTTCTATCTTCAAGTAACTGCTTCAGTTCTAACCTAAGATAAAACAGTGGTTCCTTGAAAAATGACTTTGCTTTTTTAAAGAATGAGGAAAATTCAAAACAAAGTTTACAAATGAGAGGAAATCCAAAAATGAAACAGATTTCCAGCTCATTGTAATCTGGAATGTGTTGCACAGAGCAGTCACCAAGAAGATGCCTATGTCGTTCAAATATTGATTTTTTCTCTTTGTCAGAAAGCCTGTATTGTTCTTGTTTTGTTAAGTCCACTACTGTCTGACTTTTGAACAGTTTGAAATCTACATACTGCAGTTTTGCAAGTCCATCATGGAAATTGTATGATTTTGATGTGAAGATAACATGAATGTCCTTTGTTTGAAATTTTAAACTTTGCATTTTCTTTCTGGATTTTTCACCAGCATCACTGATTTCTGACCGTTTCTTTTCTGCTCTCTGTTTTTGTTCTAAATGGGGGAGAAGATTGTTCAGAAAGTTTTTAACCTGTGAAGTATTAGCAGATACTCCAACAGTACCAAACAAATCATCAACAATCAGAAATACTCTTGAGTAAGTACTAAGACATCGGTCAAAGTCAAACTTCTTAAGGCTGTCCACAAACACGACTTCGTGCCCCTTTTGTCTATACCTTGAAGCCAGCATCAGAGCCATTGTTGTCTTGCCCTCTCCTGAAGCACCACAGATAGTCACATAACCAAATTCCTTCAATTTCTGTTTCACTTTTCTGTAGGCTTCAGATGGAGCAAAAATCTTCCTTGCTTCATCTGTGCGTAAATCAAGGGTATCTGAAGGAAAAACAAATACTTTCAATCCAAGCAAAGACTTAGATGTAAACATAAAATGACAAACTATTCACCTGTTCCTATTGCACATGGAACATCCTTTAGTCTTACTGATTGACATGAAAAATCCAATATCCTCAGAACAATAAGAATCTTTCATGCATTTTCACTTTTCACTACTTTGAACTGAACACCAACATGTTTATTCACTGACAAAAGTATCAGTATCAGTTTTGCAAGCACAGCAAAATTGACACAAGATGTGTTGTTTAAAAAACCCAGATACATCATCTGAGACTATTGTGGCCAATACATCAGGAGTTTGTATAAAATGTATTCTTCTATCACTCATTTCAATCCATAAGGATGACATGTAGGGCCATGGAAACAACATGATGGTTGGCACTGATATTCTCTCTGAGAATGGTAACAGTCTTGAAAAAGATCTAGTCACTTACTGACCCTTCAGCCATCAACACTCACCTCTCCCCAGTGTACCTTGTCCTGCCCCTCCAGTGACGATGTTGATCATGTTGGCAGCTTGGGGGTTCCCTGAAGGATGTTCACCTGTCAACACCAGCCAGGGAGGAATCATCAGTAACCATGGTAACCAACAAATGAAATGATCAGGTGTTTCTTTCCACATGGATTAACATTACTTCATATTATTGCAGTGCTCAAGACTTGGGTGTTTTTCATTCTGAAGTTTCACCTTCACTTTCACTTTTCTCATGATGATAAAACTCTGCCTGTCAATAACAACTGCTGACAATTAAAACATATCGATCACTAAATTCTGCTCATTCTTGGCAAGCAACAGTTGGAAACTATACTAAGCAGCAAAAGAAACGTCAGCTTGGAATTGTCCTTTGCAGAAACGGATAACTGTAAACTCATTTAATGTTTTGATTGTATATTTTTGACAACATCTTCAACTTTACCTGTGCAAAGACATTCCTTCCCAAACTCAGAATTGAACTCACGAATGATCTCAATAAAAGCACCCTGATCTCGAAGATAGTCTGGTGTTCTCCATGTATTTCAGGCAACTCATGCTGCACGTGCTGTTCATAGGACCGGCCCTATAAAATGCACCCCCAAACCTGGTTGAAACATTCACATTACAACATCAGTAGGATGCCACGACTCACGACAGCTCAAAGGAATCAGGCGCTAGGAAGACTTGAAGCTGGCCACACTCCACAAGCTGTTGCCAATCACTTCTAGGTCAACATTGGACCATCTACAGGCTGCAGCAACAATTCTGGGCCATCAACACCACAACTGATGGCCCCGGTACTGGCAGTCCAAGGGTGACCACAAGACCGCCATGTTGTGTGACAGCATGTACAGAATCCCTTCATGCAGGCATCCGAAACAGCACGCCAGACAGTGGGAACACAGGGAAGACCAATCAGTATTGGTACAGTATGCCGACGTCTTAACAGCGGGAACCGCCACTGCCGTAGACCTTACTGTGGACCTATCCTCATCCCTCGTCATTAGCGTGAATGTCTACAGTTTGCCCTACAACACCAAAACTGGCGATACAGGAAATGGAGAACTGTTCTGTTCACAGATGAGAGTCGGTACTGCGTATCAACTGCAGATGGCAGAACAAGAATATGGTGACGACATAGCCAGCGTTACTCACACCAATGTGTTATGGAAAGAGACTCACAGGGAGGTGCAAGCATCATGGTATTGGGTGGAATAGGCCTGAACCAGAGAGTGGGTCCTGTGGTGTTCCAGAACATTGGTCCAGGGAGAGGAGGTGGCATCACAGCGGTGCGCTACATCGACCAAGCTCTCAGACCCCACGTTGTACCACATTTCATGTGTCACCGGAACAACATTTTCCACCATGATAATGCCCGGGCCCATACTGCCGGAGCTACACAGGACTTCCTACAGCAGAACGGTGTCAACATTATTCAGTGGCCAGCCCTTAGTCCTGATTTAAACCCAACTGAACATCTTTGGGATGAAATTCAGAGGAGACTGAATAATGTCATACCAAGGCCGAACACAGCCGATTTATTGCGCCAGGCCTTTCTCAGAGTGTGGTTCCAGGTGCCAATGGCCTTCATCAATAGATTGGTGCACTCCATGCATAGACGCTGAGAATGCAGTTATTGCTGCTTGTGGTGGTCACACTAGATACTGAAGTCAAGAGTCTGAATGGACTGCAAATGTTCACGTAATGTCTTGAAATTGTGCCGGTTATTCACTGATGTGCTAAGATATTGTGCACAAGAATGGTTTTGATCCGCTTATTATGTCTATTTCTGTAATGACTTGATTACAGTGTTGGGACCAGACAATGCTGTGATCAACAACATACACATCTGGGACATGATGACGTGTCAAACAAGTCAGGAAGTCTGACCAACCCTTTGTCACCTCTTACAACAAGCATGGATTGCTTTATCTGCTGCACCCATTGTGTCAGTCTGTTGAGTAGCTGACAGAAGGTGTGCCCAGACAATTTGTGGAATGTTTTTTTCCCCCTTCTATCTCTTTGCACTCTGAACTCTCCTCTTTTTCAAAACGACAAGCCCTGAGAAAATCATGTTCTCATAAAATAAATAACTGCATTAAGGTACATTGCTTTTTTTCCAAATTCCAAAGGATGCCAAACACTAATACTTTCAGATGACAATTGACTAGCTTTGAATGTAAGAAACCTTACCACCCAGATTGTATCACCTATTTCAGCACGGCTCCCTTGGGAGCTGCATAAATCGCCTTACACGCACATGCTGCGTGTCGTTGGATAGCCGTGTCCTGGAGCTACACAGAGAATGTTTCCGTTTGTTTTTATGCAAATGTATAGCCGAGCAATTAAGTTTCCTGTAATTTTAAGCTGTGTGTTAGTAGGTCCCGGTGGAAGAAATTTGTTCCACCCAGCCTCCGTTGGAAGTCGCCTGTGCCATTGCATTTTGGAAGCCCTCTACTTTGTCATATCTCTGTATGTTATACATTGTTGGAAACATGAGGAAACGCTCTCTCCAACTATGCAAATATGAATATTATGCTGCCCCTGGTAACCAGTCCAGATTGAAACTCTGATGTGATGTTTTGCGTATATTGAAGTTCAATTCTTCTGTGATATAGCAAGTTTTTGCCAACATCATGCAGTCATGATATAACGGCTACTTCTCTTACACATCACCTCAGAAAATATGCCGATTAAGGCGTGTTCTAAACAATGTATAATACGCACATGTTGCACATTCAGTGGTGGAGCTATGTAAGTATTAATGTGCGAACTGCAAAATATATGGGACTTGATATAGATTAGCGGAATTTAGATGAATCTGTACACCGGCTATACCGGCGGCGTTAATATTTACATCTATAGTGAATGTGCAAGATTATTCATGTGGGATTCTGGAAATATGCAGTATGTTGTTGTGCAACATTAGATAGTTGAGCTATACAGGAATGAACATGCTTGACAGAACTAAAAAGTACAATAGTTTGGAATCTAACCATAACAGCAATACCTGTAGTGTTAATATTTATACTTTTAGTGCATTGGAAAACCCTTGAAAATGCGGTTCTGCCAAGGTATAATGTGCATTCGGGTCACTTCTGATAGTCAGGCAATGGCGGGTAGAATCTGGGATCTGGTGCCCATTTTCCGTCAGTGTTACCGCAGCCATAATTTCAATATCGTCCCCGCCATCAGCTGAAGTAAAGTTCGGTGATAATTTCTAGATCCATTATGGGAGCCTTAATATCTATAATGCATATGATAGCCCTTTTAAATTCACTTCTAACAATGTATAACATGTAAAGGGTGCAATATTTTGCTACAAAGGTGCTACACACATCTGAGAATGTCGCCGCTTCTGGTGTCCGTGTCACCTCCGCTATCAGCGCATGTAGTGTTCAGTTATAATTTCTATACCCGTCATTCGATCCTTCATTTCTATAATGCATTTGAAAGCCCTTTTAAATTTGCTTCTAACAACGTATAACACGTAAAGGGTGCAGTATTTTGCTACACACTTCTGAAGTTTCAGCTGCTTCTGGTGTCCATGTCCCCTCCACTATCAGCGCATGTAGTGTCCGGCTATAATTTTATATCCGTGGCTCGATCCTTCATTTCTATAACTCATATGAAAGCCCTTTAGAATGCGTTTCTGTATAACACGTACATGTGCAATATTTTGCAAAGGTGCTACACACATCTGAAAATGCCGCCGCTTCTGGTGTCACTTCCGCCATCAGCAGATGTTCACTTCGGCTATAATTTCTATGTCCATCGTGAGATTTTCAATTTGTCTAATGCAGTCGAAAGCCCTTGAAAGTACGCTTCTAACGACGTATAACACGGACATGTGCAACGTTACACACGTCGGTTTATACCGCCGCTTCTTGTGTCGGCGGCCTTTCAAATGCACTCTAATTCCGTTATACCTATCTGCAACATACCTGTATTGGTATCATTAGAAAGCTCTTTTGATGTCGGTGACGGTGGTGAACGCAGATTTAATCTATCCTGAAGATTTAAATATATATTGCACAATTTGTTTGAAAAAATCGTCATCTTTTGCTATACTTCTGCAGAAATTCCTATTTCCCTTTTTCCCATTCAAGACGGAGGTGCATGCAAAAGGGCGTTTTTCTAACTCTTCAAATAAGGTATTTATTACATTTTAAAAATGCATAGTACTCTCAGGCGAAAGTCTAACATTCCAACGTATTGCCGGGGTATTCTTAACTGAGGGGAAAAGAAGCCAGGTTGGCCACTGGCTCGACGATGCGGCGGGCACAGCGATGTGAAAATTACGACGCTGCCCTCCACGTGTGCCCACGGAGGTCAGAAAGATGGAAGACCCTAGGTAGTGCATAGAGGGATAATTCCAACCTCCACCATGATCAACAACTTGGTTGACTTGGTGCTTAGCTGTGTAACGGCATGCTACATTGCTCATGCTATTCATCATTCATTCTCCCAAAGATGCTCAGACGGCCATGGTGTAGCAGAACTAAAACAGGTTGAGTCTTGACAGGTGGCTTAAGGCGACTTTGCTGGAAGCAAGCTCAAATGTTGGGTGTTGCATAGGGGGTGAAAGGGCAACCCTTGGAGGAGAGGCGATGGTGGCGATGCTGGTTCAGGCAAACCAGTTTGAGTCTTGGCAGTGGCTCAGAGGCGACTTGGCAGGAAGCAAGCGCAAACGGTGGTGATTTTCTGCTGAAAGCAGGACGAAATGCTGGTGTTGCATAGGAGTGAAGGGGCGACCCTAAGAGGAGAGGTGAGGGTGAGAAAACGGTAGCTGGCGCACCCAAACCAGTATGATTCTCGGCAGTAGCTCAGAGGCGACTTAGCAGTAAACAAGGACGAAATGCTGGTGTTGCATAGGAGTATAGGGGTGACCCTTAGAGGAGAGGCAATGGTGGTGAAACGGTGGCTGGCGCAGGCAAACCAGTTTGAGTCTCGGCAGTGGCTCAGAGGCGACTTGGCAGTAAGCAAGCGCAGATGATGGTGATTTTCTGCTGAAAGCAGGACAAAATGCTGGTGTTGCATAGGAGTAAAAGGGCGACCCTTAGAGGAG